GCAAGGTCCTCATGGCCGAGCTCACCGACTTGGAGGAAACCGAGTTGGAGAAGTGGAGGAAGGTGTGGGAGGAGGTCAAGATTTTGCCGACAGGGATGTGGACGGTGATATGGGCACGAGGCGCGTACCTTCCAAAAACACGATAAGTCGGACACCCTTCGGCCGATGTCGGAGTCACTAATGGTCGCCCGGTTTCATGTGATTGCGTGATAGGTTCGATGACATTCTCGGAAAGTATCGAGCGTACAAGAGCTCAGGCAATGCGCACCACGACGGGTGTGAGAATAGTAGGCGAGAATGATTGACTAGGAAAAGGGAAGGGGTACAAGTAGAATGTCGAGAGAAATATGTACCCCCTAAGGCTAAACCCACTATAGCCTAGACAACTATAAACACATAAACTAAGCCTAGATATAACTAAGCATATATGTTTGACACACCCCCATAGGCGAAGTGGGGGATAGCCAGAACAAGCAATGGTCACAAGACCAGTCAAGAGAAGAAGCAAAGCAAAGCAAGCTCAGGGTGGATCACAAAGTCACCACACAGTCCGAGCACAAGCAAAGGGCCACAAGGCCAGTTCACATGAAGAGTTATATAAAGAGAACAAACAATACAGTGATCATATCCTAACAAGTGCAAGCATGCAGGTATATAGATAGATCACAGTACAGGCAGAGTCAGGCAGTAAGTAAGTGAGGCAAAGTAGGCACAAGGCCTAACACAGTAACAAAGCGCTGATGGTCACCAGGCGGAAGTGCCTTGGTGAAGACATCAGCAGTGTTGGCCCGAGTGGCCATGTACGCTAGACGAAGCTGACCACGCTGCTGCAACTCTCGAGCAAGGAAGTATCGCAGAGCGATGTGCTTCGTTCTGTGCTCAAGTCTGCGCTCCTGACACAAGGCTATCATGGCCTTGTTGTCTACGTACAGGACTGGAGGCGAATGAGGCTGCTCTCCCAGGTCGGTCAGCAAAAAGGTGAGCCAGCGTAGCTCCTGAGCAGCCATGGCTCCGGCGTAGATCTCAGCCTCACAGCTGGAGCTGAGAACTGAAGACGAGCGGGTAGACCGCCAGGAAACCGAGCCGGACCCAAGGCTGAAGGTGTAACCCTGCGACGACCGCTGCGTAGCTGAGTCGTCAACCCAGGAGGCGTCTGCGTGACCAGTGAGGACAACAGGACCCCGTCCTCCAAGCACAAGCCCCATGCCCGACGTACTGCACAGGTAACGCAGTACCCTCTTCACAGCATCCCAGTGCACCTTTCGGTGCCTACCGGGAGCCACGTAGCGAGCCAGAAGGCTGAGAGGGTACGCGAGGTCAGGTCGTGTGCAAGTCATCAGGTACATGAGGCAACCCACAAGCTCTGGGTATGGACCACTCGGCTCTACGGACTCGTCCGAAGGTGGAGCTGAGAGAGAGTGGCTGGTAGACAGAGGAGTGAGCTGTGGCGAGGAGTACTGGAAGCCGAAGCGCTGAAGGACCAGGTGCACCATGTGTGACTGAGTCAGTGTGATGGTGCGCCGTGCTCTGTCCCGGGTGATCTGCAGGCCAAGATAGCTGCACAGTTCACCCAGGTCAGTGCAGGTATGTCTCTTCTGCAGCTCGGACTTCACAAGGGTCAGTGCCTCAGTGTCAGCCGTGGCAAAGACGAGGTCGTCGACGTACACTAGGACGTAGAAGGGCGGCAGCGAGGTGTCGGTGCGTAGAAACAGCGACGGGTCTGCTGTAGAAGGAACAAACCCAAGAGCCGCAAGTGTAGTCCTGAGTGTATCGTGCCACTCGCGAGGCGCCTGGCGGAGACCGTAGACTGGCCGGCCGAGGCTCCACTGGGTACCTGCAGGAAACGTCCCAGTGAAACCAGGTGGTCGGCGCAGCCAGATCTCCTCGTGCAGGCTGCCCTGCAGGAAGGCTGTACTGAAGTCCAGGGAGTGTAACTCGTAGTCACGCTGAGCAGCTACGTGCAGCAACACCCAAAGAGTAGTCATCTTTGGGGTGGGGGAGAAGGTCTGGAAGTAGTCAACTCCCTGTCGCTGACTGAAACCTCGAGCAACGTAACGCGCCTTGAAGGCAGGCGGAGAACCCGGCGGCCGCTTCATCCTGAAGATCCACATGCCATCGACTATGTTCACCCCAGGTGGGGGAACCTCGTCGACGTAAGTGCCTGTGGACTTCCAGGATGCCATCTCGGCATCCATAGCTGCCTGCGCATGAGAGGAGTAAGGACCCGTAATCGCCTCTGCGTAAGAGCGCGGGGACGGGATGTCTGGAGCATCCGGGTCTCCCTCAGGGGCAAGTAGCAAGGAAGCGAAACGAGGTACAGCAGCTGCAAGACACTCAAAGTCCTCCTGCCTGTCCTCAAGGACGTCCGTACCAAGAGCACACTCACCCCCGACGGACGGAGGACTGGCAGGCACAGACTGAGCAACTAGAGCAGAGGCGTAGTCGAGACGGCAGGCAGCAGCAAAGTCAAGTAGCTCAGCAACGAGAGCAGAAGCAGCAGCAGACTCAAAGGACGGGTCAGTCACAGCAGTGGCAAGGAGACGAGCGACAGTGGGACTGGCAGCACGCGCTCGGTCAGACTCAGGGTCAGGGACCTCAGGAAGAGAGGACTCAGGAGGAGCAGGCAGAGGAACACGCAGTGGAACAGAGGAAGGACGGAGTGCCATGGTGTGTGTGCCTGGGACAGGAGGAGGACACGAACGAGGAGCGCGAGGAGCAGTGCAAACAGGCGAGACAGGACGAGACGTAGGCTCACGATGCTCTGTAAGACCTCCGGACTGCTCAGTGTAAGGAGAGGGAACAGGCAGTGGGGAGGCTGGCTGTAACGGCGGCTGCGACTGGTCAGGCGGTGGACACAGGAAGGGAGGAGGAAGACCAGTAGAAGACGGGACACCAAGAACCTGCTGAAGCAGGGGAACGAAGTACGGGCGCGGTCGCACAGTGCCTCCAGCACCTCCAGCTCCAGGGTCAACAGCTCCAGCTCTTGCAGCTCCAGCGCCTCCTGCGCCAGGGCCTCCAACTCCAGCTACACCAGCTCCAGCGCCTTTGGCGCCAGCTGCTCCAGGCTCCGTAGGGTCTCCAGCTCCAGTAGTAACAGCAGCACCTCCAGCTCCAGTGTCTCCAGGCTCGCCAGCCCCAGGAGGTCCACTCCGACGGTGTGGGCGCTGAACAAGCCACTCACGTAGCTGCTGCGAGGACAGTCGCGGTGAAGCACCAGCAGGACCTCCAGACGAAGCAGCACCCCAAGGCTCAGCACCCCCAGACTCCGCACCCTCCGACTCAGCACCCCCAGGCTCCGCACCCTCCGACTCAGCACCCCCAGGCTCAACACCCTCAGGCTCAGCACCCCCAGACCCAGCACCCTCAGACCCCGCACCCTCCGGCTCCGCACCCCCAGACGCAGCACCCCCAGATGCAGCACCCCCAGACGCAGCACCCCCAGACGCAGCACCTGGAGCAGCACCTGAACAGGCGCAGTACCAGGGAGAGGGTCTACCTGAGACACTCCCGAGGGAGCAGGACCCTGGGGCGGAAGGGGGTCTACCGGAGGTGGACCGGGAGCAAGGAAGAGCGGCGGGGGCGGGGAAGGGGCAGAGCGGTAGGGGAAGAGCCGGTAGAAGGGAACTGACTCGTCGAACGTGACGTCCTGAGAAGGGAGGACACGGCGCGAGGTGGGGTGGTAAAACTGCCAACCCGGCGCGTCAGGGACAAAGCCAAGGAAGACGCAGGGAATGGCGTGGGCGGAGAGCTTGTCCGCGGACGTATCGCGAACAAAGGCACGAGAACCCCAGACCCGGAACACCGACGCATCGCCAACCTTCCCCGTCCAACGCAGTGTGGGCGAGGCCTCCGGCAAGGAGACACGGGGCCAGAGGTTGAGCTGATGCGCAGCGTACCGGACCGCAAACGGCCACAGAAAATGGGGAGCGGCCGCATGAATCATGGAGGTACGAGCGACCTCCATGACTAAGCCAATGCGGCGCTCAGCAATCCCATTTTGCTAAGGGGAGTCCGGAAGCGTGAACGACTGGAGAATGCCCTCCCCACGACAAAAGTCCCGCAAGAGGTCGGAGGAGAACTCACCACCTCTGTCAGAGTGCAGACGCAGGACAGGAAGGTCCTGGCCGAACCGCTCGCGCAGCTGGAGACGGACTGTGCGGATCCAAGGGATCAAGACAGCAAAGACTTCACCCTTGCTGCGCAAGGGGAAGACTGTGGTGTACCGCGTGTAGTCGTCAACTACCGGAAGAAAGTAGCGCTCGCGGCCCTGTCCACTGACACGGGCTGGGCCCCACACGTCCATGTGGAGGGTCTGCAGGGGAGCAGTCGTCGGGGGAAACGAGGAGGAGTGAGGAGTGGCGCGCTGCCGCCCCTCGACGCAAGGAAGACAGGGCGGGGCAGGTGAGGGCGGCAGGGGAGGCAGAGACCTGGGGAGACCAGAGACAAGGAGACGGGAGTGCATGCCACGAAGGCGTGGCAGGGAGGGGTGACCAAGGCGGTGGTGCCAAAGAAGATTCTGGTGCGACAGGAAGCGACACGAGCAAGAGGCGGCTACCTGACCTGACGCGGACACCTGAGCAGACGCAGCGACCTGAGGAGGCTCGGTAGCCAGTGTGTACAGACTCGACCCTGGCCGACGAGTGAACGTAGCCAGGTGACGCCCCGTCCGTGTGCACGTGCAGATCGACACACGCTGACCCCCAGGAGTGGTGGTAGTGACCATCGCATCCTGAAGGGAAGCGGTACTCACCAAGTTTGTAGAGAACGAGGGGAGGTGAAGACCTGATAGTGAGCCGGACGGAACCGCCGGACACGGGAGGACAGTGGAGGAACTGGCAACGACCGGGCCCCCAGAGGGGTCAGCCAGTCTGACCGGAACAGGTGCAGGAAGAGGAGTGAGAGTGGTGCTGTCACGAAAGAAACAGCGCGAGGCGCCGGAGTCCAACGTGAAGGTGTGCAGGGCCTCAGCAGGCGCAGTACCAGGGGGAGTACCAGACGCACTAGCACCTAGAGCAGCAGCAGCTATACCTGGGTCAGGCGGCACACACCAGTAACAGTCACCCTCAGCTCTAAAAGACAAAGCATACATGGCAGAGATAATAACATCAAAGTCTAGGTCAAAGATAGCAACTCCCGACCTAAGCAACTCCGCCCAGCGAGGGCGCTCGACGTCATCACCAAACTCAGTACGCTTGGCGTCTTCAAGGCGGGCAAAGCAACGGCGCTCAGTGTGAAACCTCCCGCATGTCCGGCCCGCACGGGCACCCGTGCGAATGACATACGGGCAGGTCTCACTACCCTCACCCGCCCCACGCTGAACCAACCACTCACGGAGCTGCTGGGGCGTATGAGTCTCGCTCCGACGCTGCTGCTGCTGGCCCCGACCACCACCAGAGCCTCCACGCTGAAGTCCAGACCGAGCACCACTGGTCCCACCGCCTCTACTGCCGCCACTCCCTCCGCTGCCTCCACCGCCGCCACCAGAGCCTCCACCTCCGCCACCGGTCCCACCGCCGCCACCACCTCCACCGCCTTCGCCTCCTCTACTGCTGCCCCCACTACCACTCCCACTGCCACCTCCACCACCACCGCTGCCTCCTCCACTACCCCGGCCACCCTTGCCCTTGCTGTTGCGGCGCTCCGTACTAGTCGAAGCAGCACCGACGTCCTCAGGAGCAGAGACGTCTGCAGCAGCAGCAGAGGCGAAGGAGGAGGAAAGGGGGGAGGGGGAGCACCCCTCAAAGAAGGGTGAGCGCGGAGTGCCACGAGCAGCACCTACAGCAACTGCACTAGTCTCAGCTGCGAGGAGATGCTGCTCGAGGAGGTCAACAGCGAGGGAGGTGGGGTCGAGGGTGAGGAAGTGGTCCCTGACAGAGCGAAGGGAGTCAGGGAGGCGAGTGACAATGAAGTAGAGGGTGATGAACATGGGGGGCTGGTTCGTGGGAAGGAACTCAGCAGGGACGGCAGCGCGGTAGCGAGCGTCGCTAGTGCGCAGGTGGGTAACCAGGTCGGCTACTGTGGCAAAAGCCGACAGCTCAGGGAACAGGTAGGGCAGTAGCAGCCTGCCAATAGAAGCAGTGGCAGGGGAGGAGTAGCGAGCAACGACAGCGTCGTACAAGGCCTGTGCTGTCCTGTGCTCGCCAAAGTGAGCACATTCGGTTGCGGGCAGGTGGTTGCGAATGGCCAAGCGGGCAGTAGCGTCACAAGACAGCCACTGGGAACGAGTCGAAACGTCAGCTGTGGTGGGAGGGGCTGGAGCGGCACCGGACACGTGGTCAAACAGTGAGACACTGTCCCGACTAACGCTCAGTAGGTACAGTTGCAGATCGTCGTGCCACGTGTCAAATGCTACAGGTCTGCCTTCCGGGTCGAATGGGAGAACTCGAAGCGACGCCATAGGGGCCTAGGGGCCGCGGGGCCAAACAAGGGGCCGGGGGGGGGAGCCTAGGAGGGCCGAGGGGCCTAGGGGGCCGAGGGGCCAAACAAGGGGCCGGGGGGGCAGGCGCCGGGCTATGAGGTGGGGCCGAGGGGCCTAGGGGCCGCGGGGCCAAACAAGGGGCGGGGGGGCCTAGGGGGGCCGAGGGGCCTAGGGGGCCGAGGGGCCAAACAAGGGGCCGGGGGGGCCTAGGGGGGGCCGAGGGGCCGAGGGGCCAAACAAGGGGCCGGGGGGGGGGGGGGGGGCGGGCGCCGGGCTATGAGGTGGGGCCGTGGGGCCTAGGGGCCGCGGGGCCAAACAAGGGGCCGGGGGGGCCTAGGGGGGCCGAGGGGCCTAGGGGGCCGAAGGGCCAAACAAGGGGCCGGGGGGCCGGGCGCCGGGCTATGAGGTGGGGCCGAGGGGCCTAGGGGCCGCGGGGCCAAACAAGGGGCCGGAGGGGCCTAGGGGGGCCGAGGGGCCTAGGGGGCCGTGGGGCCAAACAAGGGGCCGGGGGCCGGGCGCCGGTCTCTGAGGTGGGGCCGAGGGGCCTAGGGGCCGCGGGGCCAAACAAGGGGCCGGGGGTCCTAGGGGGGCCGAGGGGCCTAGGGGGCCGAGGGGCCAAACAAGGGGCCGGGGGGCCGGGCACCGGGCTATGAGGTGGGGCCGAGGGGCCTAGGGGCCACAGGGCCAAACAAGGGGTAGGGGGGCCAAACAAGTGGCCGGGGGGGCCGGGCGCCGGGCTCTGAGGTGGGGCCGAGGGGCCTAGGGGCCGCGGGGCCAAACAAGGGGCTGGGGGGCCTAGGGAGGCCGAGGGGCCAAACAAGGGGCCGGGTGCAGGTCAGGTACGGGGCCGGGCGCTGGGCAGGTACGGGGCCGGGCGCTAGGCAGGTACAGGGCCGGGCGCTGGGCAGGTACAGGGCCGGGCGCTGTGTAGGTACGGGGCCGGGCGCTGGGCAGGTACTGGGCCGGGCGCTGGGCAGGTACGGGGCCAGGCGCTGGGCAGGTACGGGGCCAGGCGCTGGGCAGGTACGGGGCCGGGCGCTGGGCAGGTACGGGGCCGGGCGCTGGGCAGGTACGGGGCCGGGCGCTGGGCAGGTACGGGGCCTGGCGCTGGGCGCGGAATGGGGCTAGGCGCGGGGCTAGGTACGGGGCCGAGCGCGGGCAAGAGACGGGTGCCGGGCGCGAGGCTAGGTACGGAGCCAGGCGCTGGCGACAGAAGGGGCCGGGCGCGGGCTAGGTACGGGGCCGGGCGCTGGCTAGGGTCGGGGCCGTGTGCTGGGCTAGGTACGGGCCGGGCGCGGGGCTAGGTACGAGCCGAGCGCGGACGAGAGACGGGGCCGTGCGCGGGCAGAGTACGGGCCGGTCGCGAGGCTAGGTACGGGCCGAGCGCGGGGCTAGGAACGGGGCCAAGCGCGGGACGGGTACGGGCCGATCGCGGGGCGGGTACAGGCCGATCGCGGGGCTAGGAACGGGGCCGTGCGCGAGGCTAGGTACTGGCCGATCGCGGGGCTAGGAACGGGCTGGGCGCGGGCGACGGAATCGACGGGGCGACGGGGCCGAGGGGCCGAGCTAGGGGCGACGGGCCAAGGGGCCGAGCCTAGGGGCGACGGGCCAAGGGGCCGAGCCTAGGGGCTATGGGCGACGCCACGGGGCCTAGGCTAGCAGTTGCTTAGGTGGTGGGCCCATTAAAGTTAGGATCCTAGGAAGGTAATGCTCTTAATACCATGTGAGAATAGTAGGCGAGAATGATTGACTAGGAAAAGGGAAGGGGTACAAGTAGAATGTCGAGAGAAATCTGTACCCCCTAAGGCTAAACCCACTATAGCCTAGACAACTATAAACACATAAACTAAGCCTAGATATAACTAAGCATATATGTTTGACAACGGGCGCTTGCCGGCGATCTGGTTCCCCCCCGATGCCATCACAAAGGAAGGCAAGGAGAAGTCGGATGCTATGATGTCGGCCATGATAGGTCACGTGTCCATGTGCGCTGCGTATGGGAAGGTTGCTGCGAGCGCGGCGAGGAAGGAGGGAGACACTGATGAGAAGACGGCGATTGCGGCACAGGCGTTATCGGCCTCCGCTTGCACCGTGTGGTGCTTAGTCAAGAACGACGACGCCCAGGTGGTCGATGCTGTGGGCGAAGGGAAGGCAGCGGCGATGGTGGTCGGTGCGAGCGAGAAGACCGCCGATGTCTTCAAGGAGGTTATGCAAGCGGTGGTGGAGGCTGAGATCGACGGGGAGCAACCCCTCGGGGAGGTTGCGCACAACGTCGCGCCGGCGCTGCAGAGTCTCGCTCTGCACCGGGTCTATCTGGGGGTGGATCATGAAGTCGAAGCCGACGTGATCGCTAGAGCGACGGTGGAGACCTTGGCGTTCTGGGGAATGTGCCCCGTCGCCGGGCCGAAACTCGAAGAGATCGGCATCGCGGTGCCGTGTGAAGCGCAGATGGAGTACGATATTGAACACAGGGGGAGGAAGGGGCAGAGGGGCAAGCAGGGCAAGGACAGCACGAGGAAGAAGGGCAGGAAGGGCAAGGACAGCACGGCGGTGTAGTCGGCGTGTGGAGGGAGCGCTAGGTGGTCTGATTGCTAGGGTGTATAACAGTTTGGTATGGCCAGCGCCGATTGCGTAGTTATTTTGTTGGATCCTTTTTTTTTTGTGCTTGTAACTTTTTGTTTGTGTTTGCTTATGTGGTAGTGCATGTAACTTTTTGGTACTGCATGCTACTAGAACCCTCGTCGGTGATGTCGACCTGATCGCTACCCTGTGAATTGCACACTCACATGCTACTCGGGGATGAACCTTGTCGGCGTATATAACGAAGTTCGACAATACGTCGGCGTCGTTTAGTGTCTGTCGACATAGAGGGTTTGGCTGTCTGCAAGTATATTCGGGTTGTTTGTTGGTCAGCGACCAACTGCAGTTACCATTGTTGGATCATCTAGGTTCGCATGAGCCCTGTTATGTGCCTTAGGTTCGTCTTGTGTACCAACTTCCTGAACAATATAAGCATCATGGTTTGGTAAAATCGGCCACAATTACAGCATCATCAAACTACGCACACGCATATGCTCCAAAGGTATTCATGCCGCCTTCTTGCGCTTCGTCGGAGGACGCAGCACAGGTGCGGTCTGCTTGGCCATGTCGGCCACGGTCTTTGGCATCTGATCCTCCCAGATGTCTGGAAACTGGACGGCGACCCAAGCACTCGGCTTCAAGTTGACCGCCACCAGCGCACAGGCGAGACGAAGCTTCGAGACCGACGTGGGGCCCAGCCCCTTGACGCCCATGCCAGGCTCCTTGGACTTCGTCGGAGCGGTTCCCAGTTTGAGCACCGTGAGGGCATCGCAGAATGTCCCGATGACTGGCGCCGCGATCTTGTTCAGGGCGTTGACAACGGCTTTGGTGTCGGTATCGCCGTCACTCGAGCGAAGAAGGCGCACTGCATCCATGGCCTTCAGCATGCGGCACACCTTCATGTCGTGCGCACCCTGCGTCGCGCCCTTGAGGAGGGTGTGGCGGTCGACGAATCCCGACTCGACGACCCTGTCGCAAAGACGATGGGTGCCATCGGCGGTGGCGGAGTTCTAGAGGCGCCAAGCGTCCCTCACGGTCTTTGCCTCCCGCCAAGGTTGCACCACGTTGAGCTCGTAACGAGCCTCGTTGAACGTCTGTGGGGGTTTCGGGGGTTTCTCATCCTATTTCTTGGCTCTGCCCCCCGTACTGGCCGAATCCGCGGAGCCACTCTCGCTCGGCGCTTGCTCGTTCCCCGACGGCGGCACCGCCGGCATCCTCCGTGCGTCTGACACACGGAGTGCCTTGGTGAGTCGGGTTATCTTGGCGGTCAGCGTCGCGATGGTATCGTCGCGCTTCTCGATCTCCTCCTGAAGGTCAATCTTCTCGACCGCGGAGCGCTCCCTCTCGTACTTCAGCGTCTCCTTGAGGGACATGTTATGGTATTCGGTGTCCAAGCGGACAGAGATTTCCTACAGAACAAGGCGGAAAGGCGAAAATAGTTTAGAATACACCCGTAACAGATCGACGCCGACTTTAGCGACGGTTTACCTCTAGCTGAATGAGGGTTGGGTCCCGGCGTTTGTTGATTGTTTCGGTGTCGATCTTCTCGACCCTTTTTGCCCAGTGCTGAAAGAGGGCAATCCGGCAGAGCTTGGAACCTTGGACGTACGGGTGCCAAGGGGTGCGGACGAGCTTCACCGCGAGGTCCTCGGCGACGATGCGGTGCATCATCTGGAGGGTACGCCAGAAGTGCACGGCGGCTTTGTCGGCGTCGACTAACATACATCGCGCAGCAGAGCATACACGCCGGGGAAGATGTGCTCGGCGATGATGTCCAAGAGTTTGTCGGAGGGCTCGACCCTGTTGCGACCCAAGAAGTAGTCTTGCTTGCAACCCGAGTAGCCGGCCTTCCTCATCACCACCCCAACGGGAATGGCTGTGATGTAACCATGCATCATCTTGTCGAGTGCCCAGTGACCCAGCTCGGCGATCTCGGCGCGAGGCGTCCCTTCGATGGCTAGCTCCTGCGCACCTCCGGCGCGAGCGGCATGCACGTTCCGCTAGCAGAACACCTTGTTGGTCATCCACATTTGCCACATCCAACGTTGGTGGCTGGCGGCGGAGAGCTCTTTTGGCTCCTTGTCGTTGCGGGCGAAGAAAAGGTGCTTCTTGTACTAGCGCTCGCGGTCGGTGGTATCAAGCGGCGGAAGGAAGTCGACGCCGTTGAACTGACCGGTCTGGTCGAGGATGAAGTGCAACCACAGGCCGGTCTCGCCGATGGCGCACAACTCCGCTTCCAAGTGTCGCGCCGCGTAGCTCTGTTGAAGACGGGCATCCTTGGAAGTCTTCGAGTTCCGCGCGGCGATCACCATGACGACCGGCTGGTTCTCCGGGTTTCACCGACGAGGTGCTAGCCAGTCGGTATAAGAAGATGTTGGGGAGCGTGATCTCGCGGATGATGGCGCCTCGCAGGAGAGTGTGGTGGGAGAGTAGCGTGAGCGCCTTGGTGAGCAGAAATCGCCACAGCGCCTTGCCCGCGGGTTCCACGTTGACGCCGCCCATGTCGGCAGCACCTTCATCATGTCTCAGAAACAAGAAGTGATTGAACTATGAAACATTGGAGTACAAGTATGAAACCCTAGAGTTGTGTACCCCCTAAAGGCTAACCCACTATAGCCTACACAGCAATAACATATAGATAATGTTTGACACACCCCCATAGGCAAAGTGGGGGAGAGCAAGGGGTCACAAGACCAGTCAAGAAAGGCAAAGCAAGCTCAGGGTGGATCACAACGTCACCACACACTCTGAGCACAAGCAAAGGGCCACAGGGCCAGTTCACATGCAGAGGCATATATGCAACACAAACAGCAAAGTGATCTCAACCTAGCAAAGCAAACAGGCAGGTATATATATATAGAGATCACAGTACAGACAAAGCCTACAGTAAGTGAGGAAAAGTGGGCACAAGCCCCAGTATAGTGCAGAAGCGCTGATGATCACCAGGCTGAAGTGCCTTGGTGAATATATCAGCGGTGTTGGCCCAAGTGGCCACGTAATGCAGACGAAGCTGACCGCGCTGCTACAGCTCTCGAGCCAGGAAGTAACGGAGAGCGATGTGCTTCGTTCTGTGCTCCAGTCTGTGCTCCTCACACAAGGCAATGGCAGCCTTGTTGTCGACGTACAGCACTGGAGGAGAACTAGGCCGCTCTCCCAAATCGGTCATCAGGTAGGTCAGCCAGCGTAGCTCCTGTGCAGCCATGGCTGTGGCATAGATCTCAGCCTCACAACTGGAGCTGAGAACTGAAGACGAGCGAGTAGAACGCCAAGAAACTGAACCAGAGCCAAGGCTGAAGGTGTAACCTCTGTGACGACCGCTGAGTAGCCTGGTCGTCAACCCAAGAAGCGTCTGAGTGCCCAGTGAGAACAACTGAGCGCCTCACTCCAAGCACGAGCCCCATGCCTGACGTACTGCACAAGTAACGCAGTACCCTCTTAGCAGCATCCATGTGCACCTTTCGGTGCCGACCAGGAGCCACGTAGCGAGCCAGAAGGCCAAGAGGGTACGCGAGGTCAGGACGAGTGCAAGTCATCAGGTACATGAGGCAACCAACTAGCTCTGGGTAAGGACCACTCGGCTCTACGGACTCGTCCGAAGGTGGAGCTGAGAGCGAGTGACCTGTAGCCAGAGGAGTGGTCTGTGCCGAGGACCAGGTGAAACTGAAGCGCTGAAGGACCTGCTGCACCATGTGTGACTGAGTCAGTGTGATGGTGCGGCGGGCTCTGTCCCGGGTGATCCGCAAGCCAAGATAGCTTGTCAGCTCACCCAGGTCTGTGCACGTGTGTCTCTTCTGCAGCTCCGACTTCACGTGGGCGAGAGCCTCAATGTCAGCAGTGGCAAAGACCAAGTCGTCGACGTACACGAGGATGTAGAACGGCGGCAGTGAAGTGTCGGTGCCCAGAAACAGCGACGGGTCGGCAGTAGAAGACGAGAACCCAAGAGCCGCAAGTGTAGTCCTTAGTGTGTCGTGCCACTCACGTGGAGCCTGGCGGAGACCGTAGACTGGCCGGCGGAGGCTCCACTGGGTACCAGGAGGAAACGACCCAGTGAAGCCAGGAGGGCGGCGCAGCCAGATCTCCTCGTGCAGGCTGCCCTGCAAGAAAGCTGTGCTGAAGTCAAGAGAGTGAAGCTCGTAGTCACGCTGAGCGGCAACGTGCAACAGCACCCGAAGAGTGGTCATCTTCGGGGTGGGGGAGAAGGTCTGAAAGAAGTCTACTCCCTCTCGCTGACTGAAGCCTCGAGCAACGTACCGAGCCTTGAAGACAGGCGGAGAACCTGGCGGCCGCTTCACCCTGAAAATCCACATGCCACTGACGATGCTCGCCCCAGGAGGGGGAACCTCGTCGACGTAAGTGCCAGTGGACTTCCAGGATGCCATCTCTGCATCCATGGCTGTCTGCCACTGAGAGGAGTACTCACCCGCGATCGCCTCAGCGTAAGAGCGCGGGGTCGGGATGTCTGGAGCATCCGGGTCTCCCTCAGGTGCAATCAGCATGGACACGAGATGAGGTACAGCGGCGGCAAAGCACTCAAACTCCTCCTGCCTGTCCTCAAGGACGTCCGTGCCAAGAGCACACTCACCCCCGACGGACGGAGGACAGACAGACTCAGACTCAGCAACAAGACTGGCAGCGTAGTCTAGTCTACAGTGAGCAGCAAAGTCGACAAGCTCAGCAACTAAGGCAGACGCAGCAGCTGACTCAAAGGAAGGGTCAGTGACAACTGTGGCCAGGAGACGCGTGACAGTAGGACTAGCAGCACGAAGAGAGTCAGACTCCAGGTCAGCAAGGGCAGGAAGGGAGGACGCAGGAGGAGAAGGCAGAGGGACACGCTGTGGAGCAGTGGAAAGACGAAGCAACATCTGGTGAGTGCCGGGGACAGCAGGAGGACGCTGACGCGGGACACGACGACCAGTGCGAGCAGCACGAACAGGTGATGCAGAACGAGACTCAGGCGACACAGGACGAGACTCAGGCTCACGATGCTCCGTAAGACCTCCTGTCGGACCAGTGTAGGGAGAAGGACCAGGAAGTGGCGAGGTAGGCTGTAACTGTGACTGCGACTGGACAGGCGAAAGACACTCTAAGGAGGGAGCAGGACAAGGAGGAGGCGGCTGACCAAGAACCTGCTGAAGGAGCGGAACGAAGTACGGCCGCGGCCATGACGTGCCCCCAGAACCAGCAGAGACAGCACCAGAACCCCCAGCAGCAGCTCCAACTCCCGCAGCACCAGCAGCACCTCCAGGAGTGTCAACTCCAGTACCTCCAGTAGCACCAGCTCCAGCAGCACCACCAGTCCCAGGACCAGGAGCACCACTAGGAGCTCCAGCAGCTCCAGTACCTCCAGCAGCACCAGCAGCACCGCCAGCAACTCCAGGACCTCCAGCATCACCAGCAGCACCTCCAGCAGGACCAGTACTAGCAGCACCTCCAGCAGCTCCAGTACCTCCAGCAGCACCAGCAGCACCTCCAGTAGCAGCAGGGCCTCCAGCAGGCGGCACCTCAAAACTAGGAGCTCCACTCCGGAGGCTGCAGCGCCGAGCGTACCACTCATGTAGCCGCTGAGGGGAGGGAGGCTCCGGCCGCAACACAGTACCCGCAGCTCTAGTAGCCCCACGCCGGAGGCCGCAACGCTGAGAGTACCACTCACGCAGCTGCTGTGAAGAGGGAGCACCACCAGGGTCAGCACCCCCAGGCTCAGTACCCCCAGGCTCAGCACCCCCAGGCTGAGCACCCCCAGCCTCAGCACCCCCAGTCTCAGCACCCTCAGTCTCAGCACTCCAAGGCTCAGCACCCCCAATCTCAGCACCCCCAGGCTCAGCACCCCCAGTCTCAGCACCCCCAGGCTCAGTACCCCTCTCAGGACCAGAGTCAACAGCTACCTCGACAGGCTCGACTGCGTCTACCTACGAAACACCTGAGGGAGCAGGACCCTGGGAGGGAGGGGGTCTACCGAAGGGGCACTTGGGGTGAGGAAGAGAGGCGGGGGAGGGAGCGGAGCAGTGCGGTAGGGGAACAGACGGTAAAAGGGTACCGACTCGTCAAAGGTGACGTCCTGAGAGGGGAAGACACGGCGCGAGGTGGGGTGGTAAAACTGCCAACCAGGCGCGTCGGGGACAAAGCCAAGGAAGACACAGGGCACAGCGCGGGCGGAGAGCTTGTCCGCAGTGGTATCGCGGACAAAGGCACGAGCACCCCAGACCCGGAAACGCGACGCATCGCCAACCTGCCCCGTCCACAGCAGTGTGGGCGAGGTCTCCGGAGCGGAGACACGGGGCCAGAGGTTGAGCTGATGCGCAGCGTACTGGACTGCAAACGGCCACAGGAAATGGGGGGCAACCGCATGGATCAAGGAGGTACGAGCGATCTCCATGACTAAGCCAATGCGGCGCTCAGCAACCTCATTCTGCTGTGGAGAGGCCGGAAGCGTGAACGTCTGGCGGATGCCATGCTCCGCACAGTAGGCTGCCAAGAGGTCGGAGGAAAACTCACCACCTCGGTCAGAGTGCAGACGCAGGACGGGAAAGTCCGACTGGAACCGGTCGCGGAGCTGGAGACGAGCAGCGCAGATCCAAGGGATCAAAACATCAGGGACCTCACCCTTGGTGCGCAAGGGGAAGACCGTGGTGTAGCGCGTGTAGTCGTCGACAACCAGCAAGAAGTACCGCTCGTGGCCCTGTCCACGGACGCGGGCTGGGCCCCACACGTCCAGGTGGAGAGTCTACAGAGGAGCCTCTGTGGGAGGGAACGAGGAGGAGTGAGGAGCGGCGCGCTGCCGCCCCTCGACGCAGGGAAGACAGGGAGGAGCAGGCGAGGGCGGGAGGGGAGGGAGAACCCTGGGAAGACCAGAGACAAGGTACCGGGAGTGCATGCCACGAAGGCGCTGCACTGACGGGTGACCAAGACGGTGGTGCCAGAGAACCGTCTGGTGCGACAGGGAGCGACACGAGCAGGGGGCCGATAGCTGACCTGACGCAGACGCAGACGCAGCTACTTGAGGGGACTCAGTGGTCAGTGTGTACAGGTCCGACCCCGGCTGCCGAGTGAAGGTAGCTAGGTGGCGACCTGTCCTAGCACACGTACAGTGGGTCACACGCTCATAGGCAGGGGTGAACTGGTGAACACCCCCATCCTGAAGAGCAGAGCCCGCCACCAAGTTCGTAGAGAACGAGGGGAGGTAAAGACCCGACAGGGTGCCGGACGGGACCGCAGGACAAGGGAGGACAGTGGAGGAGGTCGCAAGGACCGGGCCCCCAGAGGGGTCAGCGAGGGAGACAGCAACTGGCCGAGCTAGCTGCTCAAGGGCAGTGCGGTCACGGAAGAAGCAGCGGGAAGCACCCGAGTCGAGTGTGAAGGTGTGGAGTGGCTCAGTAGACGCAGTACCAGCAAGCGCAGACGCACTAGCACCTGGGGGAGCAGACTCACTAGCACCAAGAGCAGCAGCCTCACCAGGACCTAGGGCAGTAGACGCACGAGTACCAAGAGCAGCAGCCTCACCAGGACCTAGGGCAGCAGACGCACTAGCACCTGGAGCAGCTGTCTCACTGGTCCCAATGCCCGGGTCGGGCGGTACACTCAGGTAACAGTCACCCTCAACACTAATAGTCAATGCATACATGGCACCAAGGATAGCATCAAAGTCAAGAGCAAAGATATCAATGTTCTTCCTAAGCAGATCAGCCCAGCGGCGCAGCTAAGTGGCGTCAGGAAACTGCTCACGCCAGGCGTCGTCGAGACGAAAGAAGCAGCGTTGCGCCGTGTGGAACCTCCCACAGGTCTGGCCAGTGCGGTCACCTGTGCGGATGACGTACGGGCAGGTACCTCCACCCCCAGACCCCCCACGCTGAGAGTACCACTCACGGAGCTGCTGGGGCGAGGGAGTCTCGCCGGGACGCTGCTGCTGCTGCCTCTGGCCACCGCCGAACCCCCCACGCTGCACCGCTCCACCACGCCTGCCACCACCGCCCCCACCACCCCCACCACCGCCGCCGCCACCACCCCCTGTGCCGCCACTGACCCCCCCACCACCCGCGCCACTCCCACCTCCGCCACCACCCCCGCCCCCCCCACCCCCTCCACCGCCGCCGCCCCCGCCTCCACCTCCACCACCCCTGCCCCCCTTGCCCCTGCCGCCCTTGCGCCTCCCACTAGGAGCCGACGCAGCCCCGACCCCCTCAGCTCCGAGGTAGTCGACAGCAGCAGCAGATGCAATGGAGGGGAGGAGGGGGGAGGGGGAGCACCCTGCAAAGAAGGGGGAGCGGGGGTCACCACGAGAGGCACCTACAGCTACAATGCTTTTCTCAGCTGCTAGGAGTTCCTTCTCGAGGAGGTGGACAGTGAGGTCAGTGGGGGAGAGGGCGAGAAACTGGTCCCTGACAGTGCGAAGGGAGTCAGGGAGGCGGGTGACAAGGTGGTACAGTGTGAGGTACATCGGGGGGGGGTTCTTGGCGAGGAAATCGGGGGGGAGCGCGGCACGGTAGCGGAGATCACTGGTACGGAGGTGGGTGATGAGGTCAGCTACAGTGGCAAAGGCGGACAGGTCGGGGAAGAGGTAGGGCAGTGAGAGACGGCCTATAGTAGCAGTGGCAGGGGAGGAGTAGCGTGCGACTACTGCGTCGTACAGCTCCTTAGCGGTCTTATGCTGGCCGAAGTGCTCGCGCTCATCTAACGGCAGGTGGCTGCGAACGGCTAGTCGAGCGTGAGCATCACGGGTCTGCCATTGGGAGCGAGCAGCGCTGTCAGCAGTAGTGGCAGGTACGGGAGCGGCGCCTGACGTGTGGTCATACAGGGAGACATCGTCCTTGGCAGTGATCTGAAGGAACAGGTGGAGGTCATCTAACCAAACCTCAAACTTAATCGGGCGGCCCTCAGCGTCAAAGGTGAGAACAGAGGGAGTGGCCATAGTGGCAGTAGCAGCATCAGGAATAGTAGCAGTAGTAGCAGTAGCAGTAACAGTAGCAGCTGAAGCAATAGTACAGCAGGAACAGGAACAGGAGTTGCTGCAGGTGGGGCACAGTAGGGTGGCGCGGCTCGGCCAGGGCGGCGCGGCTCAGTTCGGGCGGCGCGGCTCGGTTCGGGCGGCGCGGCTCGGTTCGGGCGGCGCGGCTCGGTTCGGGCGGCGCGGCTCGGCTCGGGCTGGGTTACGCAGCGGTGCGCGACAGGGGGGGGGGGGGGGGGCGTGCGCGTGGGCGGCTGTAGCGGGCGGGCCGTGGCTGTGCGTGGGCCTGACTAGCGCGCGGGCGGCGGCCTAGAGGGGGCGTCGCGGCGGCCTACGGGCGGGGCTGCGACGTTCTGGGCGGCGGTCGACGGGCGGCTAGGGGGCTGCTCGTGGGCGGCGCCGGTCGCGCGGGCGGCTAGGGGTCGGCGCGCGGGCTGCTAGCGGGCTACTCGCGCTAAAAAAAAAAAAGGCCGCGCGCGGCACTAGCGAGCTGCGCACGGGCAGCAGGAGGAAGAGAGGCGCACGAGGGTGCACTAGGAGAGAGGCGCTCGAGGGCGCTAAGTAGATACAGCGCTCGAGGGTGCTTCTAGCGGTGGGCCCTTAGGTAGGCGGTCCTAGGACTAGGACCTAAGCTCTTAATACCATCTCAGAAACAAGAAGTGATTGAACTATGAAACATTGGAGTACAAGTATGAAACCCTAGAGTTGTGTACCCCCTAAAGGCTAACCCACTATAGCCTACACAACAATAACATATAGATAATGTTTGACATCATGATCTGGCGGAACTGTTCGGCGGTGTAGGTATCGTTGATGGTGCCGCGACGCCGGTCGGCACAATTCCTGCCCACAAAGCCACCGAGTATTTTTAGTTTGACGGTGTCGACTTCAAAGTGACATGGACAGAGGTTGGCGGTGTCGACAAACTTACTTGACGTCCCTCTCGTTCTTGGTGCGGACCATGAACCGCACCTCCGATCTGACCACCGAGATCTCCTGCATGATGCTCAGCTCCTTCTCCCGGTAGAGCGTCGCCTCCACTCTCGCCGCCATCTGGCATGCCTTTATGCGCACAAGGAGCGTGTGCACCATTGTACCTTGCACAGGCTGGGTTCGCGAGGCATTGTTCCCCTCCTCGATTGACTCGGCATCGAGCTTACACTCACGTATCATGAACTTCACGTAGGCGCGCATCCGGATTTCGGTTACCCTAGGGCCGTGCAGCCAGATGTACTCCCGGGGGACCTCGGCCACTTTGTCCCAATTCTTCTTCTTGTTGTCCCGGATGTAGTGGCCGATCTCGTCGACGTGCCTAAGCCTGTGCTCCTGGGGAAGCTTGTCGCGTATTTGCATCAGCATTTTCGCCGCCCACCTCTTGTAGTGGTAGATGAACGAGGTGTACAGCCTCAGCGTGCTATTCTTCTCCAAGGTTTGTAGGTGGCGTAGGGCGTCTATGACCAGCACGTCGATCCATGCCTAAACCATGTCGTCCTCGACGAAGTCTGCCGCTCTCCACTGTTCGCGTGGCACCGCCATGTTCTGCTCGTCCTCCTCCTCATCCTTTTCGAGCAGGTTATCTATGTATTCAAGTTCCCGCCGGAGGCATTCTTCCAAGGTGCGCGGATTCGTGCTACGCGGAGGACGCTCGTCGTATGCATCGTTGCTCTCCTCCTCCTCCTCCTCCTCCTCCTCCTCCTCCTCCTCCTCCTCCTCCTCCTCCTCCTCCTCCTCCTCGTCATCAACCTGGTTTCCTGAGCCGGCAGGTACCGACGAAGGTCCAGGCTGCCCATCTTGCGTCAGGGTCGACTTACTAGCTGGCTTCATAAACTCCCCTATCGGCGGTGGGGGAATGTCCTTGGTGCCTTCTGGAATCTGTATCAGTGCGTCAAGATCGTAGAGTAACTTGAGCGTCTCTTCGGGGGTAGAGGTCTGATTGTGGTCGGTTGGGGGACCAACGTCGGCCATGTCGACGTCGGCCATGCGGCCGCTCGTAGTTTGCTATACCGTCGACCGTGTTTGAGGTAAAGGATGGACCACCAGAGACGGTACTGAGTCGCGGGTGCAGTGTACACCCAATGAGTTGCTCAGGCGTCTTCGTCGGATTCTCTCTCAAGTGCTTCTAACTCAGCGGCAAGCTCGAGGCGTTCCAGCTGCGCTTTGATGTCGGCGTCTACAGAGTCGGCATGGGGTGGGATGGGTTGCGGCTGTTGGGCTCTAGGCCGTCCTCTGGCCATGCGTCGCCGACCTAGTTAGTTTCTGTCGTCCCGTCTTGCTTGGTCGGTAGAGCTGTTGATACTATGCCGAGATGCTGCCCTAAAACATCCGACGTCGACGTCGACGCGTTCTGACCGTTCGGTTACCTAAACACCGACCTGAGTAGTGTATGCCAGGTAGACGCTACCGGTGCCGACGTGATCGATTGGTCGGCGCACGAGTAACCCACACTCGTGAAGATAGCTAGGGAGCGGAAAATTCTAAGTGCAAGAGAGAGCAGGAGGGAACGCATGAACGGACAAGGGAATGAGCACCAGCGCAAGGTCACGGAGGGGTATGGTCGTGAGCGACTCCGATTTTGCAGCGCTTCACGCAACCCCCTATGCTTGTGCCGCTATGCATGTGTTTTCGTGCGGCGGCGCAGTGTCCGACGTGTCACGAGCCACGCATGGCTAATGGGTCGCCGCGCTGCACTCAAGGGGCGTAAGCCTGGGCACGTCCACGGTGGAATGTGCGTGCGTTACGTGGCTGGGGCCCATCATTAGTGCTTCTCTGCAGAAAAGCCGGCATGCCGACTTCCATGGCCTAAGGGCCCGGGATTATTGAAGAGTCGCATGGCAAGCCCACCGTGAGCCCCTCGTGGTCGGCGCCGACTTTCCTTTGGGTGTGTCTTTAGATTCCTTTAACCTAGACAGTGTTAAGGCACTGACCGATGGTGCCGCGTGGCTTGGATTAGGCCGTTGGATCCTTAGTCGACACCGATATGGCGAGCAGCTCGCGATGCCAGACAACTGTAACATTTTTTTACGGGCATATTTTCGCCGCGTGGATCGGCCACCGACAAATTTGGGCGCACAGTCGAGTTCCCGCGCTGAAATCGCGGCTCGACGTGGCGTGCTGTGAGTTTTTGTCCGCTGAGATGTCCTTCTCGGGTTTCTCTCAGCGAAACCAGTTAGGAATACGGGCCAGGAAAATACCAACCCTGAAAATCTCTGAGCTGAGTTGAAACGAACCCTGAATTCTCAGGCCTGCTGTCGAAAAACCCTAACCCCGTTGAGATGTTCTCTCGGGGATACCTCAACGGATTTTGCATCCGTCGCTGGCGTCGCTGGCCCCGGCATGTCGAGCCCAGGGCGATGTTCGGCAGGCCAGGGAATACTGGGGGGGTTGGGGCGAGGGATCCAAAATGACCAGCCTCGCCCCTAGTTGGATGGGTCAACTCTGGGTCCACCAGAGTTGACCCCACGTCCGAGGTCTTGGCGCAAGCGGAGATTCGAGGGGAGCTCGCGGGATGGAAACAACGAGATGGCGGGGGGGGATGGAAGCTGCACCGTACAGGAAGAGAAACTTCCACCCTACAAAAGGGTTGTCGCATGCCAAAAACAAATGCCCGACACACTGTACGCATACGTGATCGATCTCACCTTTGGCGGTGTGACGCCGTGATGGGTTGGCAAATGGCGACTATAGCCTGGCTGATAAATAGGGATGGAAGGAGATAAGTGCGGTAGAGGGAGCGAAGTTGAGAGATAGATGTCGAGTGGCGAATGTTGAGAGGGAAGTTGGGTGGGATACCTTTTTGTTTTTTACTTTCTTTTCAGGGTAATGCCATGTTCGATTGGAGGGGATTGACCGCGGGATCTGGCTGGATTCTTCGGTTTTGAGCGGCAGGCCAGGGAATCCAAGTTTCATTCCCCCCCTCTAGTGCGGAGGCTTTCCGCCAAGGGGGGGGTTGTGGGGGGGATGCGGCGCGGGCGACACTCTAGCATGGGGTTCGCGTCGCATTGAAGGCCCACGTTCGGACTGTTTTTCACATTTTTCTTGTCCTGACTGCACTGTTTTGCCTGGTTCTCCAAGGTCGAACCTGGTGGCCCGGCATTTTGATCCTCCCTCAAACCCTCTCCCCTGGCTGCCGAACATCGCCCAGTTTGCAACCCATTCCGTTGCTCGGCGTCATTCATCCCAAGGGGGGGCCAGGTGTTTCCCTCTCATCCAAACCTTCCCTTTGAGATGAACCACTCTGTCGACATCGACAGTCGAGGCGATTCGCCTCAGCAGCACCCCACCCCGTGTCCCCCAAATTGCGATTCAACGGACGGAGGCGAGATTACAATATCTCTAGGATTGGACCAGCGACCGCAGATGCAGCTGCAGCGAACCAGCAATGCTGCGGCCGCTGATCGGAGCGTCAGCGAGGCGCGTTACTCCGACGACGCGACAACCACTACCGGCGACATTTGCGACAAGGAGGAAGGACGCTTGCTGCTCGCAGGGGCATGCGACAATCGCGAAAATGTTGGCGGCGCATCGGCGGCAGATGAAGCGACAGCCGCGGGTGATGGCCACGGCACCAATGCTGCTCTTGCTCCTGCCCCTGCTCCTGCTGCTCCTGCTGCTCCTGCTGCTGCTGTTGGTGATATCCAGGAGGAGGCGGAGGAAGGCGAGAGAGACGACGGAGAGCCGAGTCTGTGGTCAGCATTGACGTTCGCATGGGTGGGTCATGTGCTGCCTGCTCGACTTTTGAGACGTCTCAAAAGTCATGCGCTGCCTGCTCGGCTGGCTGCTGCCCGGTTGCATCCAAGTCACTCGCTTTCTTCCTTGCTTCCTTCGGCGTAGCTTAGGCAGCTTACCAGCGTCAGCGGGCCTCTCATTCCCAATTCCGCCCACTCCCTCCCCTTCCCCCTCCCCTTCCCCATGCACAATGAAACCAACCAATGCCGCGCGCGGGTGACTCCCACAATGCGCCTGGGCTCGCACACAATGCTGCAGCTGGCGGACCTCCCGCCGCCCCTCCCTTCCCCCCCCCTTTCCCCCTCCCTTCCCCATGCACATTGAAATCAACCAACCAATCATGCGAGCAGGTGACCCCCATTATGCGCCTGGGCGCGCACACAACGCTGCAGCTGGCGGACCTCCCCCCACCCCCGCGCACCTGGCGCGCGGATTGGCTGGACGCGCAAACGGCATGCATCATGGACGGGGAGCAGGGGGGAAGGGGGCGGAAGGAGGAGGAGTATTTTGAAGGGGAGGGGGAGGAGAGGGGGCGGAAGGAGGAGTATATTGAAGGGGAGGGGGAGGAGAGGGGGCGGAAGGAGGAGGAGTATATTGAAGGGGAGGGGGAGGAGAGGGGGCGGAAGGAGGACGAGCAGTGTGAAGGGGAGCAGGGGGAAAGGCGGGCGGGGAGGGGAAGCGGTCAGTTGGTGGTGTCGGGCGGATGGAAGGCAGGGGGCAGGGGCAGAGGGAAGTGGCCGTTTTGGGCTGTTCTGTATTGGCCGCACCGGTGGGCGCTGTTGCTGCTCGCAGTGATGTTTCTCGGGGAGTCGATGCTGCATGTCGTCAAGGCCGTGCTTCTGTATCGCATAGTGAGTGCGTGCATGCATGTGTGAATGTGCGTATTGTGTGAACAGAGAGTCTCTTACACCTCATCATTCCCATAACCATACCCCTCCTCTCCTTTCCCCCACTCGCGCTCACCCTCCCATCAATCTCCCGTCCCCCCTCCTTGCCCTCCACCAGATCGCCTTCCTGGAAGCGTGTGACAGCAGTAGCAGCAGTGACGGCAGCAGCTGTGTGGAAGGGCAGTGCGGGTCCATTGAAGGGTATCTCACGGCAGCAGGGCTGGGCGCACTGGCCGTGGCGCTGGCCGTGGCGACCCAGCACCTGTGCTACCGCGCATACGTCTCCCCTCCCCCTTCCGACCCCTCCACCAGGTCACCTACCTGGAAGGGTGTGACAGCAGCGGCGGCAGTGACAGCAGCAGCAGCAGCAGCGGGGAAGGGCAGTGCGGCCCCACCGAGGGTTATCTCACAGCAGCAGGGCTGGGCGCACTAGCGGTGGCGCTGGCAGTGGTGACCCAGCAGCTGTGCTACCGCGCATATGTTGTGTCCACCAATACACGCACGGCCGCCATCAGCGCAGGTAAGAAGAGGGAGCTTATGAGTCGCTTCAAAAGTGGCAGTGGCGCTGGCTAAGGTGACCCAACAGTTGTGCTACTGCGCATATGTTGTCTCCTCTCCACCAACACTCGCACCGCTGCCATCAGCGCAGGTGAGGTTGCCATCCACACCTTTTGGGTCAGAAGGTGACTTTTGGGTCAGAAGGTGACTTTTGGGTCAGAAGGTGACTTTTGGGTCAGAAGGTGACTTTTGGGTCAGAAGGTGACTTTTGGGTCAGAAGGTGACTTTTGAGTCGACTCGACTTTTGAGTCGACTCAAAAGTCCCATCCACATTGGTCAGAATCCCTCTGGTGCTTTTCGCCCATCCCCTCACCTCCTTCCCCCAACTGTCCCCCTTGCCCCCATCCGCTTCCTCCTCTCCCACTCCCCGTGTTGTTGTCTCTAGTCCTATACCTTTCCACCCGCAGCCCAAGCTCCCAGCCTCTGCCACCCAAACTCGGCCAAACTGCTTTTGCTTATTTTCGCCCATCCCCCCACCCTTCCCCCAACTGTTCTCCCCACACCGGTCTTCCTCCCCTTCCCTCCCACACGTTCCATCTCCTTCTCTTCCCCTGCAGTGCACCGCCACCTCCTCACACTCACCGCCAGCGCGCTGAGCCACGTCAGCAGTGGGCACTGTATCAACCTGCTGTCCAATGACGTGCGCCGATTGGACGACCTGGTGTTCTGCAGCCAGGCGCTCTGGGTGGTGAGGCGAAGTGCACGATTGGGAGTGGTGCCAGGGATGGGGGATGGGGAATGGGGCTGTCTGGGGAAGGGCTTTGGAATGGAGTGGCATGGAGTGGGGTCTGCGGTGGTGGGTGAAGGAGACGAGAAGAGGGAGTGGATAGGAGCAAGGTCAAGAACAATGCGGCTGCCTTTACCCTAAACCCATTCGAGCAACGCTGCTTGCCTTTCTTGTGACTGACTGCCTGCCTTCACTTCACACATTCTCCGTATTCCTGTGTGCCTGCGTCCCTGGTTGCTTGTCTTGCTGTCCTGTTTCCGTTGTTACGCAGGCCCCAATAGAACTCGTGATTGTCAGTGTCACCTGGCTGATTGTGAGGCGCGGAAATACAGACTCCCTGCGTACGTATTGCTTTCCTGTTTCCGTCGTTGTGCAGGCTCCAATTGAGCTTGTGTTGGTCACGTGGCTGGTAGCGAGGGAGATTGGATGGGTGCCCACCATCGCTGGCATTGCCACTCAACTGCTGCTTCTTCCGCTACAGGTTCGTCCTCTGAAACTTGGCTATGGTAGAGCTTGTGGTTGTCACGTGGCTGATATTGAGGGATATCGATCGGATGGGTGCCCACCATCGCTGGCATTGGCACGCATCTGCTGCTGCTTCCGCTCCAGGTGCGTGGTTGTCACTGGCATTCGTGGTTTGGCCCCCCTCTCTCTTTCTCAAATGGTCCTTATATGTGTAGTGGAAGCTGGGTGCTACAAGGCTAAGAATGTCCCCTCGCTAGTGTGCCTGTGCCTGCAATGCAAGCATGCCTGGTTGCCCCCTCACACCTTGTCAGCTGCTTCCTTTCTCCCACATGCACGCTGCTCTCTCCCTCCCAAACAACCGAGCAATACCAGCTGGCATGTGGGAAGTGGAGGGTGTGGCTGCGGGCAAAAACTGCGGAGGCCACTGATGCACGCGTCAAGCACACAGAAGAGGTGGGCGGTTGGGGAGGAGGGAGAGGGAAAGAGTGGGGATGGGGGAGGGGACGAGGAGGGTTGGATGGGGGAGGGGAGGAGAGGGGTTGGGTGAGGGAGGGGAGGAGAGGGGTTGGGTGAGGGAGGGGACGAGAGGAGTTAGAAAGATATGTTCTCGACCTGTCATTGGAATTGCACTGCAGTATGGCATATCCTTGGCCTCTCACGTGCCTGCCTTGTGTTCCCCTCGTAACATCCTTCAACTCCCGTCCGATCTCACTCACTCACTCACCCATTTCCTTGCCCCACAACAGGCTCTGGGCGGCATCCTGACTGTGAAGACGCTGGCTCTGGAAGGCATGCTCCTAACATCCTTCAATTCTCGTCCCCTCTCACTCACCCAACAACCCCACCTACCCACTCACCCATTTCCTTGCCCCACAACAGGCTCTGGGCGGCATCCTGGCTGTGAAGACGCTGGCTCTGGAAGGCATGCTCCTAACATCCTTCAATTCTCGTCCCCTCTCACTCACCCAACAACCCCACCTACCCACTCACCCATTTCCTTGCCCCACAACAGGCTCTGGGCGGCATCCTGACTGTGAAGACACTGGCTCTGGAGGAGCCGCTCACATCAATCATCCAACGAATCAGACGCACAGAAGTGTCCTTGTGAGTCCATCCCCCTCCAACTCCCACCACTTTTGCCCTCCCTATCCCCTTCCCACCCCTCCCTCATTTGTTCCAAGCCTTTTCCTCTCCCTTTTCGTCCCTCTCACCCTCGCCCGCCCCTCCACCCCCCCTCGCTCTCAAACAGTCCTTGTCATTGACTCCGCACCTAATCAGAATCAGCATTCGCTCCTTCCGTCCACTTTTGAGTCGACTCAAAAGCAGAACCCCTCTCTCTCTCGAACAGTCCTTGTCATTGACTCCGCTCCTAATCAGAATCATCATTGGCTCCCTCGTCTTCTCATTCACCTCGTTGGTTGCTTCTGAGGCGCCCCAATACTCCCCTCCATCCGCCCCGCCCTTCCTTATGCCAGCCTGCAGTGGACAGCCGCCCTCAACGCCGTGATGGACGCTTTTTGAGCCGCCTAAAAAAGCATCCCTCCACCTCCCTGCCCTGCACCCTCCATCCGCCCCGTCCGTCCTTCTGCCAGCCTGCAGTGGACAGCCGCCCTCAACGCCATGATGGCTGCACTCTACTTCTCATTCACCTCTGTGGTTGCTTTTGAGTCGTCTATTAATCCCCTCCATCCTCCCGTTCCCCTCCTTTCTACCAGCCTGCAGTGGACAGCCGCCCTCAACGCCGTGACGGCTGCACTCTACTTCTCATTCACCTCCGTGGTTGCTTTTGAGTCGTCTATTAATCCCCTCCATCCTCCCTTTCCCCTCCCGTCTACCAGCCTGCAGTGGACAGCCGCCCTCAACGCCGTGACGGCTGCGCTCTACTTCTCATTCACCTCCGTGGTCGCCCTCGTCACCTTCGCCACCTTCACGTGCCTCGGAGGTCAACTCACCGCAGCCTCTGTGTTCTACGTGCTTACTCTCCTCGAGGTGCGCTGCACCTCTCCTTGCTTTTATGCACCTTGATCGAGCCATCCGAAAGGACAGCTGCATCTCTCACAGCGTGTCTCAGAGGGCACCTCTCACGGCGGCCGATGTGTTCTACATGCTCGCTCACGTTCCTCCAGGTACGTCTTTCCTTGCTTCCGTGCCCCTCAGCCGAGCGCTCAAGCTTCGTGCTAACTCTGTTCTTAAGGCGCCTCATAAACACCCTCACGTGCCTCGGAGCGGAGGCCAATTCACGACGGCCGCTGTGTTTTACATGCTCGCTCACGCTCCTCGGGGTGCGTCTTTCCTGGGGCCTTAGTCGAGCAGAGTTGACGGGATACATACGCGTGCACGTGCTCTCACAACAGTGCTGGCCATTCATGAAAGCGCGTGGGGGAGTGGATTGAAAGCGCGTGGGGGAGTGGATTGAATGCGCGTGGGGGAGTGGATTGAATGCGCGTGGGGGAGTGGATTGAATGCGCGTGGGGGAGTGGATTGAATGCGCGTGGGGGAGTGGATTGAATGCGCGTGGGGGAGTGGATTGAATGCGCGTGGGGGAGTGGATTGAATGCGCGTGGGGGAGTGGATTGAATGCGCGTGGGGGAGTGGATTGAATGCGCGTGGTGGAGTGGATTGAATGCGCGTGGGGGAGTGGATTGAATGCGCGTGGGGGAGTGGATTGAATGCGCGTGGGGGAGTGGATTGAATGCGCGTGGGGGAGTGGATTGAATGCGCGTGGGGGAGTGGATTGAATGCGCGTGGGGGAGTGGATTGACTGCGCGTGGGGGAGTGGATTGAATGCGCGTGGGGGAGTGGATTGAATGCGCGTGGGGGAGTGGATTGAATGCGCGTGGGGGAGTGGATGAATGCGCGTGGGGGAGTGGATTGAATGCGCGTGGGGGAGTGGATTGAATGCGCGTGGGGGAGTGGATTGAATGCGCGTGGGGGAGTGGATTGAATGCGCGTGGGGGAGTGGATTGACTGCGCGTGGGGGAGTGGATTGAATGCGCGTGGGGGAGTGGATTGAATGCGCGTGGGGGAGTGGATTGAATGCGCGTGGGGGAGTGGATTGAATGCGCGTGGGGGAGTGGATTGAATGCGCGTGGGGGAGTGGATTGAATGCGCGTGGGGGAGTGGATTGAATGCGTTGCTCAACGGCGCGTGGGCTGCTGGCCATTGTGCACTGTTGAAATTGTTGAGGCGCCTCAACAATCGTGGGGGACTGAGTTGAGTGGGATGGTCATGTCATCGTGCACCGTTGCTTCTCTGTAAACAGTCCTCTTAACATGCCCCACACTTCCCTTCCTCCCCTCCCTCCGTTCCCTCCGCTCCTCGCTCCGTTCCCTCCTCCCCTCCATACCATATCCCCGCAGATCCCGCACTACACCATGGGGTGGAAGGTGGCCTACGGCATACAGCAAATAGCAGAGGCGTTTGTCAGCTTCAAGCGACTCTCACACTTCCTGCAGGTCAGAACTTCCTGCAGGTCGGCATGCAGGAAGCAGCATGCTCTTTGCTGTTGCCTTTTGAGGCACCTCAAAAGTCAGCATGCGGGAAGCAGCATGCTCTTTGTTGTTGCCAACCCACCCACCCACCCACCCTTCTCTTGTCTTTTCACCGCCTATAGTTACCGACCAACACGTTTGCAGCGATTCTTCTTGACTCGACTCGACTCCAAACCACGCACCATTTCTCTCGGATTTTTCACCGCCTGTCGTTATCAACGCGTTTCAGCGCACGCCCTGTTGAGTGGTTGGAGCACTACAAATGCCGTCCAGGTGGGTGGGTGGATACAAATAACGGTTGCAATGTTGTGATGAGGTCCGATTGGTGATGAGGTCCGATTGGTGATGAGGTCCGATTGGTGATGAGGTCCGATTGGTGATGAGGTCCGATTGGTGATGAGGTCCGATTGGTGATGAGGTCCGATTGGTGATGAGGTCCGATTGGTGATGAGAGAAAGCCTCAATATACCTCGATGTGCATGGGTGGGTGGGTAGGTGGGTGGGTGGATAGATGGGTGGGTGCGATGAGTGGCTCATCCAGCTTACTGAATGCCGTCTCATCCCCGTTGCCTGCCTCTACATGTACCTCCCTGTGCGTGCCACCTCCCTGTGGGTGCCACCTCCCTGTGCGTGCACCTCCCTGTGCGTGCACCTCCCTGTGCGTGCCACCTTCACTCCAACAGACCACTCCCCACGGAGCCAGGCCGCAAGAAGCGCCATCTCAGAATGGCTCTGCTATGCTCCCAAAAGCGCGCCGCTATGCCATTGACACCCCAACCACCACCAAGCCACCTGAATCAACAACTGCTGCTCTCACAGCACCGAGTCTCCAGTCTACAGTACCAAGTATACACCCCCCAGCACCGAGTCTCCAGTCCTCACCATCCTCAGAGCTCGCCTCACTGCCCAGCCACAGCCTCTCCTCCTCTTCTCCCACACGCCTTCCCTGTCCCCGCCGTGCTGCCTTGGTGCTTGAAGGGGCCTCTTTCGCTTGGGGAGAAGCAGCTGGGGAGGTTAAGCGCGAGGGGAAGAGGGAGAGCGAAAAAAAAGGAGGAAAGAGATTCAGAGGAAGGAGGAAAAAGCCACCGCTTGAGGCGATTGCTGAGTCGACTCAAGCATCGGCCGGGCATGTTCTGGATGTCACTGAGCCTAGCACGGTAGATGGCACGCCTTATGGCAAGGGCTACATGAGCAGTGTCAGGAGTTTCCGACGCGTCCCCAAAGCTTTCCGCGTGCGTTCCCTGCAGCGTTTAATGAGCTTTCATGCTCCTGGCCCTTCCCCCGCTGTTGGCCCTTCTGCTGCGGATGCTTCTGCTGATGCTGCTGGTGCTGCTGCCTTGGAGGGCACGTGTGTGACTGCACGGGAGGAGCAAGAGGGACATGTTGAGATAGACGGTGCATGCGCACCGAGCGGGCGGGTGGAGGGAGTGAGCGTAAGGCTGGGAGAGGCAGAGCTGCTGGGCGTCACTGGCAAGGTGAGAGGGAGAGGTCGTGGGATTCACTGGCAAGGTGAGAGGGAGAGGTCGTGGGAGTCACTGGCAAGGTGAGCAGGAGAGGTCGTGGGAGTCACTGGCAAGGTGAGAGGGAGAGGTCTTGGGAGTCACTGGCAAGGTGAGAGGGAGAGGTCGTGGGAGTCACTGGCAAGGTGAGCGGGAGAGGTCGTGGGAGTCACTGGCATGGTGAGTGGGAGAGGTCGTGGGAGTTACTGGCAAGGTGAGCGGGAGAGGTCGTGGGAGTCACTGGCAAGGTGAGAAGGAGAGGTCGTGGGAGTCACTGGCAAGGTGAGAGGGAGAGGTCGTGGGAGTCACTGGCAAGGTGAGAGGGAGAGGTCGTGGGAGTCACTGGCAAGGTGAGAGGGAGAGATCGTGGGAGTCACTGGCAAGGTGAGAGGGAGAGGTCGTGGAAGTCACTGGCAAGGTGAGAGGGAGAGGTCGTGGGAGTCACTGGCAAGGTGAGAGGGAGAGGTCGTGGGAGTCACTGGCAAGGTGAGCCCGCTGCTTGCTGCTTGCGTGCTGCCCGCTGCTTGCGTGCTGCCCGCTGCCCGCTGCTTGCTGCTTGCCCGCGGCCTGCTATTGCCTGCTATGGAATGCTCTTGCTTGCAGCATGCGTGTTCATTGTGTGTGTTGTGCGCCTCTGGCTGTCACAGGCTGCTGTGCTGCCTGCTGTGCTGCCTGCTGTGCTGCGTGTTGTGCTGCCTGCTGTGCTGCCTGCTGTGCTGCCTGCTGTGCTGCCTGCTGTGCTGCCTGCTGTGCTGCCTGCTGAGTATCGCACTTGACTGTAATGCAGGCTTCAAGAAAACACCGCTGTGATCATGCTATTTACACTGCCTCCCACCCCACCCTTTCCACCTCGCAGACGGGCAGTGGCAAGTCGTTGCTGCTGCTGGGTATTCTGGGGGAAGTGCCTCACTCATCGGGCGCCATGCACCGCTCCGTGCCTTCCCTCGCCTACGCATCGCAGCAGGTCTGCCTCCCATTTGCCGCTCAACCTTTGCTTCTCGTCTCTCTCTCACCCCTTCCCCACCCACTCGTCTCTCATCCTTTGCCACCCTTTGCCAGTGACCTGATGTGTGTCAGCCTTTCCCTTCCACGCACAAGGCACATCCCTGTGTTGTGTCCTCCCGTACCTCTTTGACTCACTTCTGCATATTACAACCTACCACCAACCACCTTCCTCTCTCTCACAACCCCTCCTCTCCCCTTTCCCCCGTGTGCGTCTATGCCACCAGCCTTTCCTCATTGAGGGGACGGTGCGAGACAACATCCTATTCGAGTTTTGCATCGACTAAAACCTCCCCCACCCTACCCCTCCTCTCCCCTTTCCCCCGTGCGTCTATTCCACCAGCCTTTCCTCATTGAAGGCACGGTGCGAGACAACATCCTATTCGGTACAACGCTACACAAGGCTCTCTATGCTAAGGTACACTGCATGCCAAGAAAGGTCTGAACTGATTCTGTCTTGCGTTTGAACGTCTCTTAAGGCTCCCCTCTGCCGTCCCATTTCCCCGTCGCCCACTCCTCCCCTTTGCCCTCTCCTCCCCTTTGCCCTCTCCCCCCCCCTTTGCCCTCTCCTCCCCTTTGCCTTCTCCTCCCCTTTGCCCTCTCCTCCCCTTTGCCCTCTCCTCCCCCTTGCCCTCTCCTCCCCTTTGCCCTCTCCCCCCCCCTTTGCCCTCTCCTCCCCTTTGCCCTCTCCCCCCCTTTGCCCTCTCCTCCCCTTTGCCCTCTCCTCCCCGCCTCCATCTCCTCGCCACTCTCTCTCATTCTGCTAGTTATCGTCTCTGAACGTCTACCAATGCCCTCTTCCCCCTCGCTCACTCTGCTGCCCTCCCCCACTCAAGGTGGTGGATGCGTGTGTCCTGTCCTGTGCTCAAACGTTGGACTTCTGAGGTGCCTTAAACGTCGTCCCCATTGCACTCTCCTCCCCGCTCTCTCTTGCTCCCCTATCTCCCTTCTCCCCCCCCCCCCCCCCCTCTCACTTGCTATCTCCCTCCCCCACTGAAGGTGTTGGACGCCTGTGCCCTCCGCACGGACTTGGCCCTAATGCCACGTGGCGATGAATCATTGGTGGAGGAGGGCGGCGGCAACCTCAGTGGCGGGCAAAGGGCGCGCATGTCGCTCGCCCGGGCGGCGTATGTTGCACTGCACTGCAAGATGACCTTTGAGTCGACTCTAAAGTCACCCCGGGCAGCATATGCCACACCTCAGGCACACACTGATGGCAATGGCGGCAGCAATAGCGGTAGCAGCAGTGGAAACAGTGGTGGTAACAATAGCAGCAGCAATAGAACTAGCAGCAGCAGCCGGAGTGCGCCCCCACCCGTGCTGGTCCTCCTAGACGACCCTCTTGCCGCGTTGGATCCAGCCGTTGCCAGCCACGTGTTTCAGCAGTGCGTGTGTGGGCTGCTGGCAGGGCTGCCCCGGATTGTCGTCACTCACCACGTGCAGTACCTTGGGAGGTATGGTGATGGGTGTGGGGGAAGGGAAGGGGATGGAGAAAGGGTGGGTTTGGATGGAGCAGACGATTGATGAGGGAGGAGAGACGGAAATTATCTGTTGCATTGCATCCCATACAATACAACTGTGCATACTGTTTCGTGTGCATACTACAATTGTTTCGTGTGCATACTACAATTGTTTCGTGTGCATACTACAATTGTTTCGTGTGCATACTACAATTGTTTCGTGTGCATACTACAATGGTTTCGTGTGCATACTACAATTGTTTCGTGTGCATACTACAATTGTTTCGTGTGCATACTACAATTGTTTCGTGTGCATACTACAATTGTTTCGTGTGCATACTACAATTGTTTCGTGTGCATACTACAATTGTTTCGTGTGCATACTACAATTGTTTCGTGTGCATACTACAATTGTTTCGTGTGCATACTACAATTGTTTCGTGTGCATACTACAATTGTTTCGTGTGCATACTACAATTGTTTCGTGTGCATACTACAATTGTTTCGTGTGCATAGTACAATTGTTTCTCCCTCTGTCTTTCCTCTGCTCCCCTCCCTCTCCCTCATCCCCAGCTGCCACAGAGTGTTGGTGCTGAACAGCGGCAGAGCAGCGGCGTGTGGCGCATGGAGTGACCTCTGCGCCCTGCCCTCTGCTCAACAAAACTGCGACAACCCCCCTCTGCCCTTTGCACAACTTCTGAAGCCCCTCAAAGCTTTTGAGGCACCTCAAAGCACATGGAGTGACATATGCACCCTGCCCTCTGCGCAACAACACTGTGACCATCCCCCTCCGGCACTGGGGCAACCTCTCTCTGGTGGGAGGGGTGTTTCAGACACTGGCTCTGACAGTGCCATGTGTGCCACTGTCACTGTTTCTGGTACGGTCGTCTGTGCCCCTGTCACCACTGACACGGGTGTGGACGGCACGTTTGCTGATTCACGGAGCTGCAAAAGCGGCACCACGGTGGTCTGCAGCAGCAAACGTGACACTGGCTCTGACAGTGCCATGTGTGCCACTGTCACTGGCGGTGACTGTGCTGCTGCTGGCAATGCAACTGTCACCACTAACACGGGTGTGGACGGCACCGTTGTTCATTCACAGAGGTGCAAAACTGGCGACACAGCGGGCAGCAGCAGTGGCAGCTGTGTAGATCGTGGCACAGGCAGCGAGAGAGACACAGATGCGCCAACAGTCGGCACGAGGGGCTGCAGGGTGGGCATTCATGGGGACTCGTCGGTGAGAGGAAGCGAGGAAAGGGCAGAGGTGGAGCAGGCAGAGGCTGCGGCCCTCATTGGGACAGGGGATGAGGTGGAGAAGATTCAGTTGACTAAGGACGGCATTCATAGAAACACGTCATTGAGAGGAAGTGAGAAAGAGGTGCTCTTAGGGACAGAGGCTGAGGTGGAGACAGCGGAGGTGGGGAAGGGAGTGGTAGACGCATGCAGGGAGGGGGAGCGTGTCTCACTTGAGGACCAGGCTGCTGAGGGCTCGTTGTGCAAGTCAAGAGAAGGACCATTAGCAGCAAAGAGTTACTCCCTCTTTCGGAGGGGGGAGGGAGAGCAGGAGGAGAGTGGGTCCACAGAAGGTGATGAGCAAGGTAGGCATGCAAACGTAGGCATGCAAACGTAGGCATGCAAACGTGTGCGTGGCTTTCCACTGCCTGTCCCACGCGATCATGTGTGTTTCCATGCTCCCCCCTGTCCCATCCGACGCTAACCCCAATCGCTGTGTGTGCCTGCAGGCCTGCTGGACGTGGAAGGGTGGCAGCGCGGTGCCATCCCCCTGTCGGTGTTTTGGGGCTACGCCAGAAAGATCCGCGTGCTGCCTCTGCTGCTCTTTGCCGCCCTCTTCCTCGCCGCACACGTCTCCAACGCCCTCGTCAGCTGGTGAGGAAATTCCTCCCTCACGCTCCCTTTCTCTCTCATGCACGCCCCCCCATCACCTCCTCTCGCCATCCCCTCCCCCACTTCTCACCCTCACGGCCATCGCCCCCTCCTGTATGGCCCTCTCGCCTTCTCGTCTCACTGCTCATCCACGCCTCCTGTGTGCCTCTTCCATCGGACATCTGCCCATCCCTCCTGCTCCATGCTTGATGACTCTTGCCCCTCCTCCCCTCCCCTCCCATCCCCTCCCCTCCCCTCCCCTCCCCTCCCCTCCCCTCCCCTCCCATCCCCTCCCCTCCCCTCCCCTCCCCTCCCCTCCCCTCCCCCCCCCCTCCCCTCCCCTCCCCTCCCCTCCCCTCCCCTCCCCTCTCCTCCCCTCCCCTCCCCTCCCCTCCCCTCCCCTCCCCTCCCCTCCCCTCCCCTCCCCTCCCCTCCCCTCCCCTCCCCTCCCCTCCCCTCCCCTCCCCTCCCCTCCCCTCCCCTCCCCTCCCCGCCCCTCCCCTTCCCTCCCCGCCCCTCCCCTCCACCCCGGAGGCCTGTGGACGGAGGAGCCTGAGACCACACCGCACCCGCTTGCCACCCTCACGGCCATCGCCCTCTCCTGCGTGGTCCTCTCCCTCCTCGCCTCGCTGCTCCTCCACTTTGCCGCGCTGCGCGCCTCCTCCCGCATGCACTCACTCATGCTTGCCTCCGTGCTCGCCTAGCCGCTTGCCTTCTTCCACCGCAACCCACATCTCTCTCCTCTAATCCCCTCCGCTCCCCTCCCCCCCAAGGTTCCTGGGCCTGTGGACAGAGGCGCCGGAAACCACACCGCACCCACTGGTCACGCTGGCAGCCATCGCCCTGTCCTGTGTGGCCCTCTCCCTCCTCTCCTCGCTGCTCATCCACTTCGCCGCGCTGCGCGCCTCCTCCCGCATGCACTCACTTATGCTTTCGTCCGTGCTCGCCTCGCCGCTGGCCTTCTTCCACCGCAACCCCACGGGCCGCGTGCTGAACCGGTTCAGTGAGGACCTCGGGGTTACCGATGATGTGCTGCCCCAGCTGCTGCTGGATTTTCTGAATGTGAGTTGAGAGTGAGACTCAATAGTCACCCCACTCGCGTTATTTTACTGCAACCCAACCCAACCCCACGGGCCGCGTGCTGAACCGCTTCAGTGAGGACCTCGGGGTGACTGACAATGTGCTTCCGCAGCTGCTGCTGGACTTCCTCAATGTGAGTCGAAGGGTCGAGAGAGGGGTGGGGGAGCGTGATGGAGGGAGGGAAGATTGAGGAGGGTTCAAAACGAGTTAGGGGTTTCATGTCAGCTGGATACGATGTGAATACACAAAGTTACTCCCACCATACTCCCAGTCACCCACTCTCCCATCTCCATTCTCCATCATCCCACTCCCGCTAAACCCGTACTATCCTTCCCGTCCTCCACTTGCCTGCAGCCCTTCGGCCTGTGCGTTGCCGCAGTGGTATCAGCATGCATAGCTGTGCCGTGGATACTCATCCCCATGCTGCCGCTGCTGCTGCTGCTGCTGCACTTGCGGCATCTGTATGTGTGCACGGCAATGGAGGTCCGACGTATGGAATGCACCACTCGCTCCGTGCTGCTCGCCCGCTTCCTCACCACCATGGAGGTGAGCTGTGTTCTGAGTCGACTCAAAACAATGCTGCTGCTGCTGCTGCACCTGCTGCTGCACCTGCGGCATCTGTATGTGTGCGCTGCCATGGAGGTCCGCCGCATGGAGTGCACAACACGCTCCGTGCTGCTCGCCCGCTTCCTCAACACCATGGAGGTGTGAATTCCAAGTTGTTCTTCATCCCTCCCTCCCGCTTCCTCACCACCACGCACGCACGCATGCACACACCCACCCACCCACGCACGGACTCACTCACTCACTGAGAGAGGCAGACAACGCCCACTCATCCACTGTTACATCCTCTGCACTTCCCAAGCTCACCTCTCAAGTCTCTACTCCCCTTCCCCTTCCCCGTTCCCCCATCCGAGCCTCTCCCACCAGCACCGCTTCCACCGCCTCTTCCTTGGCCACATCACCGCCAACGCCAGCCCGAACCTATTCTGGCCGGAGCTTGAGGAAGGCGGTTGACTTCCCATCCCATGCCAGCCACCGTGTGTCCCAACAGCAAGTCTATACCCCCTTCCCACTCATCCCTTCTCCCCGCAGCGCTTCCCAAACTTGCCACGAAATCTTTACTCCCTACCCCTCTTCCCCCCTCTCAGGGCCTCCCAACCATCCGAGCCTTTTCCCAGCAGCGCCGCTTCCACCGCCTCTTCCTGCGCCACGTCACCGCCAATGCCACCCCGCACCTATTCTGGATCGCCACGTGGGAGTGGCTGGGCTTCCGATTGGACCTCCTCGTTGCCGCCGCCCTGCTCTCCGCCGCCCTCGCCGCCGTGGCCCTGCGCCACTCGCTGCCGCCCGCCATGGCCGCACTGGCTTTGTCTTATCTGCTGCAGCTGCCGGACTCCCTGCGGTGGGCGCTGCAGTATGGTGTGGAGCTCGAGAACACGGTGAGAGGGGGGGGGAAGGGTGGGGATTGGGGAACAGCCAGGGGTGAGGGAAGGGAGGGAAGGGAAGTCTTCGGACTCCCTGCGCTGGGCGCTGCAATACGGCGTGGAGCTCGAAAACACGGTACTGAAGAGGGTGGGGAGGGTGAGGCAGGGGGGAGAGACAAGGGTGCGTTGCGCTGGCTGTAATGTTTATGGGTGGGATGGAAGTGAGGCAAGGGAAGGGTGCTGGACTCCCTGCGCTGGGCGCTGCAGTATGGCGTGGAGCTGGAGAGCACGGTGAGGGGGGAGGAGAGGGTGAGAGGCGGGAGGGATGTTTGGGGGGGGGCGGCGGGGGGGGAGAGGGGAGGAGGGAGGGCGGCAGGGGTGCAATGGTTGTGATGTTTATTGTTGTGAAGGAAGTGAGGCAAGGGAAGGGTGCTGGATTCCCTGCGGTGGGCGCTGCAGTACGGCGTTGAGCTGGAGAACACGGTGAGGGGAGGTTGGTTGGTTGGAGGGGGTGCGGGGAAAGTGAGGGACAGAAAGGCTGCCAGACTCGTTATGGTGGGCGCTGCAGTACGGCGTTCTCACTCATGGTGGAAGGGCAACAGTACTAGTGAAACGCTTTAGCAAGTAAGAAAAAGAGTAAAAAAATCCCTAGCTAAGAGAACTCTGATCGCAAGAACTGAAATCACTCAATCAGAACAGGTCGCAAACATGTTTCGGCAAGGCGGGAGAACCCGCCAAGCCTTCATCAGTGCTTCTGAACACAAAGATATCCAACAGCTAGGCATAGGCTAAGTAATCAACCTACACCGCGAACAGAATTCAAGGTTCCCATCTACCCAGATTGCCTAACAATGGGCATTCGCCAACACAGCACTGGGTAAAAACCCAAGGTTACAAGTGTCAGCCTTCCGTGGTGTCTTCGTCAGGGCTATCGATAAGCCTTGGAAACTTCGCTCGCACGAGTAACTTTTGCAAGTTACGTGCACACCTCCATGCAATGTAGATATTCCCCATATAAAAACCGCGTGAACTGAGACGAGTTTTGAGGCGCCTCAAAACCAGACTCGTTACGGTGGGCGCTGCAGTATGGCGTTGAGCTGGAGAACACGGTGAGGGAGGAGGTGAGGGGAGAGAACGAACACGGTGACAGGGAGAGAACATCGTAAACAGAAAACTTCTCGGTATACTTTGAGGCGAGGGAAGAGGGTGAGGCGAAGGGAGGGAGAGGGTGAAGCTAAGGGAGGGAGAGGGTGAAGCTAAGGGAGGGAGAGGGTGAAGCGAAGGGAGGGAGAGGGTGAAGCGAAGGGAGGGAGAGGGTGAAGCGAAGGGAGGGAGAGGGTGAAGCAAAGGGAGGGAGAGGGTGAAGCGAAGAGAGGGAGAGGGTGAAGCGAAGGGAGGGAGAGGGTGAAGCGAAGGGACAGGATGAGACGAGGCGAAGGGACACGGTGAGGCGAGGAAGCTTTTGATTCTTCTCTGAAAGCCAGTAACTTCCCAACATGTAAACAACCGTGTGTAATGGCAAGGGACCAGGGTGCGAGCTTCGGCAAGGGACCGTGTGTAATGAGCCAAAGATTGAGGGAACATGTAAAGAATCAGAGCCGGAGAACATGGTAGAGGCAAGGGACCAGGGTGCGAGCGATTGTTGCGATGCTCATGGGTGTGAGGGAAGTGAGGCAAGTGCACCATTAACAAAGGAGCACCGTGGTGGGGTGGGAACCAGGAACGTGCTCCTTCGTTCATGGTGTGCTCTACCGTTCACTCCCTCGTGTTTTGAGTCGACTCAAAACACGACTTCTTCGTTCATGGTGTGCTGCACCGTTCACTCCTTCCGCACCGTGTGCTGATGGAGAAGCAAACACTCTATTGCTCTCTTACGTCTTATGTGACGCTTCACATCACATTCTCATGCACCCATGGGATAGATACTAGAGAGGCAAACACCCTTGTGCTCTCTTACCTCTTATGTGACGTGAAGCAGCTTGATGATGATGCATGCTCGATCTCCACATCCCATTCTCATGCTTGATATGGTTGCGAGAACCGCAGGGGACACGTCCATCTTGTGTTTTTTGAGAATTCTTTGTTTTTTTAGAATTCTGTGTTTTTTGAGAATTCTGTGTTTTTTTATAATTCTGTGTTTTTTTATAATTCTGTGTTTTATTTAGAATTCTGTGTTTTTTTAGAATTCTCAAAAAACACACGTTGCGAGAACCGCAGGGGACACGTCCATCTTGCACTTGCCTAACTCAATAACCTGCATTGTTTCATCCCTGCACCTCTGACACCCCACCCCGTCCATCGCAGTTCACCAGTGTTGAGCGCACACTCGAGTACACCACGCTGCCAGGTGAAGAGTCCGCACCTTGAGGGGCCTCTAGAACCTGCATTGTTGCCTCCCCGCCCTCTGACACCCCACCCCGTCCATGCCAGTTCACGAGTGTTGAGCGCACACTCGAGTACACCACGCTGCCAGGGGAAGAGCCTACACCTGCCAAAAGTAAATCCAAGCATCAGCAGCACAACAAGTGGCAGCAGCTGCAGCAGCAGCAACGACAACAGCAGCAGCAGCAGCAGCAGCAGCAGGAAGGCCCCACCACCAAATCCTCCGTACCCAGCTTGCTGTTCGGAGCACTGCAAACAGCAATCAGGCGCCTGTCCTTTAAGATGGACAACATCATCAAGCCACTATTCTCTCGCAATCCGCCCTTCACCCACTGCCAAGCCACTGATGCAGCACCAAACAGCAAGGAGGAGGAGGAGAGGAACAGCAGAAGCGCCGTTTGCCCCTCGTGGCCGTCAGCAGGGGCAGTGCGAGTGGAGCAGCTGACAGTGCGGTATGGCAGTTCAGGGCTGGCAGTGCTGCGCAGCTTGAGCTTTCAGCTCGCAGGGGGAGAGAAGTGCGGTGTGGTGGGGCGAACAGGTGAGGTGTGGTAAGGCGAACAGGTGAGGCGATCTGTAGGTTTGGCTCTGTGATCCAACATAGCATCATTGGGGCTGGATCAAGGAGGAAAATGCTTCCTTGTTTCTCAGAGATCTCAAACGTGATCTCAGTACACTCGGCATGGATGCATTCTGAGATTCTGTAGCAAGGCTTAAGACAGCGCTAGCTGTTGTGTGTTGTCTACATGTGTGTGTGCCACGCCTCAACACAACAGGTGCAGGAAAATCCACCCTCATGCTCGCGCTGCTGCGGTTGGTGGAAGCGTCTTCGGGGAGCATTCACATCGATGGTGTGGACATTGCATCGCTGCCCCTCGCCACCCTGCGAAGCAAGGTGGGCTTCTGCCGCGCCTTAGAAGCTGACTTGTGAGTTTTGGGAATTCTCAAAAGCGACTCACAAGTCTTAAGGAAACATCTCTACATTGATGATGTGGACATTGCATCTCTGCCATTCACCACCCTGAGAAGCAATGTAAGCAACCAGTTGCCTTTCCGTCCAATTGTTGGATAACTCGCCCGAAGTTTACAAGCATAATCTGACTAAAACTTCTGAGTTTGATTTCCAACGGTCTCCCCTGTTGCAGGTGGTGGCCATTCCTCAAGAGCCGGTTCTCTTTAGCCAGTCATTGCGATTCAACCTTGATCCCCTGGGGTATGGCTGCTCACAATGACCATGATTCTCTCTGACCAGGAATTTGGGACGCTGTTGAAACTCCGTGCCCTTTCTGTGGCGTATGTCCAGCTGTACATCTTCTCACTGTCCCTCACATGTGTACTCTCAGTCACTCACTCGATCTCTTGTTCACTTTCACCCTCCGAAACCCCGCTTCATCCCCCCCGTTCCCTCCCATCCTCCCCTTCATCCCTCCCAACCCCCCTGACAGCCAGCACAGTGACGAGGCCCTGTGGTCGATGCTGGCAATGGTGCAGCTAAAAGGTACCCTCCCATCCCGCACTTCACCCCCCAACCCTCCATGCCCCATCACAGGCAGCACAGTGACGAGGCCCTGTGGTCGGTGCTGGCAACGGTGCACCTAAAGCCGCTGGTGGCGGGGCTGCTGGGGGGGTTAGAGGGTGCCCTGGCTCAGGGCGGGGGGAACCTCTCCCTGGGGCAGAGGCAACTGCTCTGCCTCGCAAGGTACGCCCAAGGGGAATGCGTTGGGCCAATCACAGTGCAGGTCTTATCTGTGTCTCAGAACTGTGTATTGGCCGAAACGCGCAGTTATGATGCAGTACATATTCTGCTTGCTTCTTGTTCCTGGTATTTGTTTTCCATACAGAGCGTTGCTGGCATCAACACGCGTGTTGCTGATGGATGAAGCGACAGCGAGCATGGATGGGGAGAGCGATGCAGCGATCAAATCCATCCTGCGGGAGTCATTCAAGCACAGCACCGTCATCACCATTGCACACCGGCTCTCCACGGTTCTTGATTACGACCAGGCAAGTCAGAAGAGTGTTGAATGTGCCCCTTGCTCACGTCCATGTATGTGTGTGCGCACACCCATCATGCCCACGTCTGTGAGTGCATGTGCGCACACCTTCGTGCCAACGTCTGTGAGTGCATGTGCGCACACCTTCATGCCAACGTCTGTGAGTGCATGTGTGCACACCTTCATGCCAACGTCTGTGAGTGCATGTGCGCACACCTTCATGCCAACGTCTGTGAGTGCATGTGCGCACACCTTCGTGCCAACACCCTACGCACGCACACCCCACGCCTCCTTACGCGTGTCCTCCCTTGGTGCACACGTCGGACCTGCTAAAAAACTTATATTTTCTGGTTCATCCAAAATCAATTCCCTTTTCTCAGGTTCTTGTCTTGGAACTTGGGCAACTCACTGAGTTTGGAGCACCCGAGGATCTGAGAAAAAACAAATCCAGTGCTTTCTCTAGTATGCTAGCAGAAAATACCTCTGAGCAAATGTAAACGCAAATGGTAATTGGGAGAACAAATCATTTACGTAAGCTTTATTTGTGCCAGAGGCTTCTATTTCCCTGAAGTGAAATGCCACCTCACAGGGAAACTGGCTCTAAGGCTTGGCCCCCAAACCCGAGACTATTTACCCCCTAGTTTTGTTCTACATAGCAGTCAGTGGGGAAGTAGGCTTGGGAATCTCTTTCACTACACCCCCTACTGTCATCCCTCCATACTACCCACCTACCCACACCCAATACCGCACCCCGAATCTCTGTTCTCCCCACCTCTGAGTACAGCATCAAACTTGCATACTGTTCAGAAATTTGTACTTAAATTTGCTTTCATACCGAGACATACATCTCCGTTACTAATGAATCAATTTCTAGACATGTCACTTGGGGTGTTGTATGTTGCATGCATACCGTACCGTATGATCTGGTTAGTCACTAGAATACCAGCCGACATTGAAACCAACCTGATTTCGTGCGAATGCAATGCTTTTCAGGCGGTGAAGAGCAGACCATCGAAAATCCTCACACAACATCCTCCCCTGTTTCACTCAGTTTTTTCACACCCAAGCAGCTGAAGCCGGAACCTTCATCTTCGTGGTGAAGGCCAGTTCATCGCCTTCGATCGACTCGCATGACTCATCACTCTCAGACCGCTTCAAGTCCGACTTCTCCGACTCTCTCACGATCAGCCGCTTGATGAACGGCGGGAAGAACGGCCATAGTCGTTGCCGGAGCTCGGGCAGCCGCCAATCGTCGCACGTGACTACCCCGCGGCAGATCGACGCGCCGCAGTGGCAACTGAAATTATCGCTGCTGGTGCGGACGACGCCTGCGTTCGCGCTACCGTAGTCAATGCTCAACTCTTCGCCCGGCGCTATGCTCCGCATGGCCACTATCGTCACCGAGTCTTCCAGTCCGCAGTTAGGGTCGCACGAGTGGTTGATAAAGTCGGGCGTCTCGGGCCCACGCTTCGGATCCGGCACCTGCCAGAGGTGGTCGTTGACTCGCAGCGAGAGCTCTCGCGTGCGTTCGTCACTTCCTAGGAGATAATCGAGGCCGACAAGCTTGCCGGCGAAGACGAGAAGCGGTTCGCCACGTCGGATGCTCGCCAATGCGAACAGCCCCTTGGAGGCGTCCGCGCCGCGACCTTTGTAACGAGTCACCACGCGCGGGTCGTACCACCCCGACTCGGCCATCTTCCGCTCGATATAAGCCGAGCAGTGCCCTGCGAACCGTCGCTGCCAGTCGTGCGAGCGCCACTCGGTGAATGTGAGCGTTCCGCGGCAGCACGCGGCGCCGCAGCGGCAGCGCAGGCCGGCGTGCATGCTACCCTCCGTCTCCGTGCAGGCATAGTCGTACGTGACGTGCTCGCCCGGCTGAATGTCTCGCAGGGCGACCATGCAACGCGGGTTAGCGTACCATGTGTTGGGGTCGCACGAGTGGTTGTAATAAAAGCTCGGATCGTCCTCGGGGTCGGCTGTCGTGTCGTACAAGTCGTCACCGACCATGTACGCGTAGCGAATCATTGTCTCGCGCTTCTCCTTATCGGGTTCCGCCGATAAGTCTGAAGCGTGGTACCCGCGAATCTCTCCTTCGTCCCAATCGCAAACGACCTCGCCTTGTGCGATAAAGCTGTGCGCGAACAGCCCGCGGCATTGGAAACCGTAGAGCTGGTGCTCTTGCACGACGATGTGCGGGTGGAGACCCATGCTGAGGATCAGCCTGTTGGGCTGAGGAACGGGTGGGCAGGGTGGTATGTTGTGCGAGAGCGCGCTGTTGGTATCTCGTTGATGGAATGTGGGTGGTATGTTGTGCGAGGTGGGAATGCGCTGAAGTTCCTCGTCGCTGAGACTGATTATAACTCGGCGTTATACTGGAGGCATTGAATGCCTCTCCTGGAGCACAACTAAGACAACAGGCAGAGGCATCTCGTTGATGGAATCTAGAGTTTCTTCCTTCCGAGTAATTAATTCGGGTAGGGGACCTGTGAGACGGCCGATGGGATTACCAAAGATCTTGCAGAAAACAGGGAACGGAGACAACCAATGAATCATTGACGTGTGGCAATTATTTGCTTCTTTTTTCTTTCCTGGGAATGACCACGGCGTGTAAGATAGCCCTCAATAGGACGGTGCGCTTGAAATTGTGGGCAGGCAGGCTCTGAAATCATGGGTGGGCCATGTACATCAGGTCCCAACAGTTTATTGTGTGCCGATGCGTCACAACCAAGTGCTTTGTCACCGAAGGCACGAATGGCCCAGGATTCCCCTGAGATATCTACCACTCGGACGAAAACACAACGTTCCAGCATTCGACCCCTCAAGCAGCACCGCGTCGCAGTCAGGCCTCATGGTGTCTGGGTCAGGCCTGTCGAAGTCCCTGGGACCAAAACTTTGAGTCCTGAGCTGTTCGAATTCTTGCCCTGATTTTCACGGGGGAAGGAAAAAAACAAAACTGGAAGTCAGCGCTTCTTAGGTAAGTGTACTTTGGCCCTAATGTAACTCAGGAGGATTTTGTTCCTCTTACTTAGCCGGAAAAGGTACACACAAACTACTCATCTGCACGCTTTCAGCCTCTACATCGTCCGCAAAAACACCGTCGGCAAAAATGTCGGGTAGTGGGGGTTGGGGGGGGAGGGGATGGCGGCGGGAATTCGGGTGGGGGGGGGGGGGGGTCTCCTTCAAAACAGAAACCAAAACTTTGATTCAGGGGAAGACCCAAACGAGGCCCTTAACTGTCACGGGTGCCATGCCTATCTAACACTTTATATGGTTGAGCCTCTCGAAACGTAGGCCGGAATGTTCAGGGCATTAAGGGCAAATGCCCTTGCTTCTACAGCCCTGGTCTGGGTGTGGTGAGGGGGTGCCATACTTTTTTCTGTTCTGGATCATACGTGGTTTTTTTTTTTTTTTTTTGATGCAAAGATACACTATAAGTGCAACAATACATCGGCAGTCGTAACTGTAGCTGATGGGCTTAGGGGGATTGCTCCCTCCGTACCCATCCTGACCATCTAAGGGGGGCGGAAGGCAGCCCTCGGGTTCGACCAGATTGCCATGAACCCCTTGGACCACGTGGCTGGTTGAGCTGAGTTGTCCATGATGTGGCCCAAGACCCGGCACTCGTCATCATCCAAGCCAGGACGAATGGCGCCGAGCCTCTTAGACACCGCCTTAGCACGCTTGTAGATCCTGACATGCAGTTGGAAAGACGCCACGATCCTCCGCAGAGCCCTCCTCGCCCGGAATTTGCTGCGCTCGAAAACCGCGTCACACCTCTCGACCCAAATCCGGTGGAACGCGATTGCTGCGATCGTAGCCTCGGGGAACCCCGAAGCTGTACCCTCCTTCCTGAAAAACACATCCCCCAGAGACTCAATTTTCCGATGCGGATTCAGCATGCGGAGAGCCTTCAAAAGCGCCCGTACCACCGGCTGAATGCGCGGGCAGAGAAACAACCCGTGCTCCAGTGTCTCCTTCTCCCCGCAGTGCGGGCAGGCGACTCCGGCGCCAAGGAAATGTAACCGCTCCCCCACCTGCAGGTTCCGGCTGTGGATCCGGAGCATCACATCCCGCGCACGGTTCGGCAGAGCTGACGAATCCCGTACCCCGATCACTCTCCCCCAGTCGATCGTACGGCCGAGAGACTCCTCCCATGTGGTCTGCTGCTTCGGTTTTCCGCCAAACCGCTTAAAACCTTCCTTTAGTTGTCTTAGCTGCGCCGGCCGATCACCCACCCAGATGGGGGAGCACAGCAGTCTTGCCCTGGGGGCACCCGCCGGGCCAAGGAACCGACCATCCCTGACCACTGCAGGCACCACCTCGTGCGGCAGAAAATTGCGCAACCTCTCCTCAGCCTCCTCCAAGGCCCCCCTGAAACACTTGATGGCACGGCAAACTAGGGTTTCGCCTTCCACACTCTCAATCCTCCAGACCCCGTAGCTCGTCCCCGCCTTTAGTACGAACTTAGAAGCCGTTAGCACCGTGCGCGCTGTGACAGGCGCCATGAGCAACTGCTTCCATTCATCCGGAGCAGCATCGTATACCCTCTTCGCCAGCTTCGCTCCTTCCGATCCTCCGAAAGCCCGCTCGAGCTCCTGGGGAGTTTTCAGAGTTCTCGATCCGTCCACAGCAACCTTGATTAAGTCACCCATCACCGAGCGCTTCAACGACTTAGCCGGCTTCTGCCGTCCCGCGGGCGTCTTCCCGTTCAAAAGCAGCCGGCGGTTAAAAAGCAACATCTCCTGCTCCACCTCCCATACGGACGATACGCTGATGCATGAAGGGAAGTTGGACTCCAGGAATAGCTCGCATGTCCGCTTCCACCTCTCACATCTTCCTTCCCACTGCTTTATCAACCCCGCGTGGGCCCAGAAAACCTGTAGGTCAGGAACATCCAAAGCCGCGAGCGCCAGATCAGCACGCAGTCCCAGTGGTTGCGACGCCAGCAACGCGATCCTCCTGGCCGCCAGACCCCCCAGCTCCGCACAGGGATCCCGGACGCCTAGCCCGCCTTCCCCTCTTGCTTTAAACAGCAGCTCCTGACTCCAGAGCGCGAAGTGCTTCCCTGCCGTCGAGTGGTTACCCGTGACGAAATTGTGAAGCAGCTTCACCAGCTTCGCCCAGATTTCCGAAGGAGGAGGGTAGACCTGCGCCTGGAAAGCGAGGATTGGGTTGATGTACCCGTTGACCACCGCGACTCTTCCGGATGTCGTCAGGTAATGTATTTGCCATTCCACCAGCTCCGCCGTTGCACGTGACAGGGTGATTTCCCAGGTCACCGATGCATCCCCCGAGGGTGAGATCCACACCCCCAGGACTCTTTCCGCTTCGTTCAACCGTACCCATTTGAAAGCTGACGCCTTGTCTGGTTTCTTGCGCAGGTTCTTTCCCAGGGGCAGGAGTGCAGACTTGTCGTTGTTTACCCAAAGACCTGACTTCTCACCGAACTCATTCAGCAGCTTCACCGCCCGGCCAATCTGCCTCTTCCCTTTGAGCACCAGCGTGGTGTCGTCGGCATACCCCAGGTACGCAAGCCGATCCCCGTACGGATTACTGATTCCCAGTTTCCTCCTTATTGCTTCCTGGCAGAGGGGCTCCACCGCGCAAAGGAAGAGATAGGGTGCCAGCGGGCAGCCCTGCCGTACGCCCTTCCTGACCGCCACCGGTTCTCCCAGCCAACCATTCAGCAACAGCCTCGTCGTCGATCCAGCATGGAGCCCTTCGCACCACTGTACGAACTTCCGCGGGAAACCCATCCTCGCCATCGTGCCGAAAAGGTATTCCCGAGAGACCGAGTCGAAAGCCTTCTGGAAGTCCACCAGAAGCAAGTACCAATCCGCGTCTTTGCACTTCGCCGCGTCAACGATGTCCGCAACCAGCGAAACCCCGTCAGCCAGCCTTCTCCCTGGTAAGAACCCAAACTGTTCCTCCGAAATGACCGTATGCAACACTTTCCGCATCCTGTTCGCCAGCACCCGCGCTACTAACTTGTACGTGCTATTGAGCAGCGTGATCGGCCGGTAGTTTTGCACTTGATCCTTCGCGCCCTTCTTGTGCAGCAGGACAGTGACAGCCTCCAAGGCAGCAGGAGGAAGAACGGCCGTTTCCTCAAACTGCTTCGCGAATCCGAGCACATCACCCCCTAGCGAGTCCCAGTGTTGGCTGAAAAACTCCTTCGGGATTCCGTCAGCGCCGGGAGACTTGCCCTTCGCCATGCCGTCAAGGGCCTCCTTCACCTCCGCTTCAGACCAGTCCGCTACCAACAGCTGCGATTGCGCCTCACCCAGCTTCTTGCCAGGAGCGACCGGCCAAAACGTGCTGTCCGCTGTCGGGGTAGGTTCCGAGAACAGCTCCGCGTAGAACTCGGAGGCAGCTTCTAGTATCCCGCACGAGTCATTCCGCACTGTCCCCTTCCATTGCAGCGATGTAATCATTGTCCTCTCCTTCCGTGTTTTGACCTTTGCAGACATGAGCTTGCCAGGCAACTCCCCTTCACGCAGCTCCTTGACCCCGGCCATGAGCGTGACCCTCTCCTGTTCCGAGGCGAGGTATGCCGCCAGCTTGGACTCCTTGACCTTCAGCTCCTCCTTCCGGGCGGAGCAGTAGGGGTTTCTCATCACCTCCTGCTGCAAAACCGCAACCGCCTCATCCAGGTGAGTCAGGGTAGCTTTGACCCGCTTCCGTTCCTCAGCAGAGTACTTCCTTAATGCCATATTCATTTTCCTCATGAGCGCAGTGAAATCGCCTGACCCCGCTTTACCGTGCTCCTCGCAGATCGCAGCAACCGCTTTCACCGCACCCGGCCTTCCAATTTTTGCCGCCTTGCACCTCCATATTCCAGGCCCCATGCATAACTGCAGGCTGATTTTGAAGGTCACCTTCACCCCGAACCAGTGGTCTGAGAGACCCTTCAGCGGCCGACAGTGCGACGCCTCAGAGAGCGACGTCAACAGCGGCGCCGAGACAAGGGCCCGGTCAATGCGTGAGCTGGTCTTGGCAGACCTAGACAGAAAGGTAAACTCCTTCAGCACCGGGTTCATCCAGCGAAAAGCGTCGGTGAGGCAGTGCGCTGAGCATATCCGCAACACGCTGCCATTCTCTCCTGACGAGCCCGCACCAGACGATCTATCCAGTAGAGGTTCCTCCACCATGTTAAGATCTCCGATCAAAAGAAAACCTCCTCCCCACAGAGTGCGCCATAAAAGGAGCAAGCACCCCATCGTAAAACGGGCGACGCCTGCAAGCTTTCGCAGGAAAGTAAGCAGCCAGGATCGTGCAGTGGAAAGAGTCCCACTGAACATCAGCCTGAAGCAAACGACCCGAGCTGTGAGTGACAATGTTAGTGAAAACAAGAGACTTGTTGAAACTTAAGATGGCAACCCCTCCTGCCTTCCCCGCAGGACCGATCGCATGACAATGGGGGACTTTGAGCTTCTTCCAGAAATCGTGGTCAGCACCAATCCGTGTGTCAGCCAAAACGAAGATATCAGGTGGTTTCTTTAGCCATGCCTTCAGATGCTTCTGCTTCCCTCTGCTCCCGAGCCCGTTGACATTGAGCTCGCGTATCGACAGGTAAGAAGCTTTATTCATTGGGAAACCGCCGAGAAGCCCCAAGCATCCACGGGCTGAGCGAGACACGAACCACAGTTTTATAAAGGAACAGTACAAACACAGGGGATACTAACATGCAGCTTTCGCCTCTCCTTCCTCCTTCTACAACCCATAATCCTTCTTCAGGTGCTTGAGGTTGATCTTCCCCTTCAACAACCGGAGTGACTCTCCACCTTTCGGGGCCCCATGGCGGTGCCGCTGGGACAACGCGTGATGCGCTGCCTGTTCGAACGACGAACCATGAGCCTTCTCGCAACTGTCCTGAAGACAAACCCACTCCTCCCGATTTCCACTGGTGGAGATAAGTACCAGGGACGGGTCCTTGAGGATAATCTTGGTCGCATCTGATGCAATGGTCGCAGCAGCTGCGCAGCAACGATGTGAGAACTCGGGAAGAAAGGCAAGTGGAAAACGACAGTGAAACGCGCGAAATTCCATCAGCGACAACGCAAACAACGCAGCTACCATTCAGCTCATGGACCCTCCCAATGGTAAGGTGCCATTTGGTGATGTTGTTGTGACGCTCGACGACGAAGTCGTTGTGGTTGTGGATCGAGTGATGACCACCGCACAGACTGCACTTCAACGCCGGGTAGTGGATCAGCAGAATCTCGTCCTTGTTGAGCGGACTTTCAATGTAGTGCTTCCACCGGTACAGATCACCCTCGTGAGCAACCACCAGTCCCTTGATCCGATCCGTATCCAAGCCAGTCACCGAGTTGACCGCACGATGAAAGCAAAGACCTTTCTTAAACACCGACTTCTTCTTCTTCTTGAGCGGAGCCATCAGCATCCCATGCAGCATTGCAGGTGAGATCTCAGCAGGGACCTCCTTGAAATAGAGCTCAATCACTGCAGGGTTCGTCGCCTTCTGCCTGGCGAAAGCGGGATCTTCCGGATACTGCCAGTCAAAGGTAACGTAAATCCCATTCTTGCACTTATGTTCGACCTGATTACGCCACACAAAATTTGCGTCAGATGCCTTGTCAAAAGTAACTTGCATGCGACCGTAATACTTCTTGTACAGGAAACCGGACGTCAGCTGCTGGTACGTCGTGGTGACCTGGGCCCCATCAGACAGCTCATCCTTCCAAATCCCCACCAATCCCTTGATCGTTGCCTGTGTGCGAGGTACTTCCAACAAAAACTCTTCAGGGATCAGAAGGGTGATCGGGTAGCAGGAACGTGACGCGATCTCTCCCTTTGACGCTTCCTCGACCTCTTCGTCAGAATCATAGGCAATAAGCCCGTCGTCCTCATCGTTAAGCAGGTGGGTAACCCCCGATGGTCCCGAGCCATCGTCAGCATTGTCGCGTGAAACATTGTCCTCATCGTCGTCATGAGAAACATCTTCTCCTTCTGGTGCAGCGTCAGAAACAGCATCTTTGAAAATGACTTCCTCCTTACCCTTCTTGCTATCATTCGCAGCTTCCTCAATGCGGATGGCTGCGAGCTTCGCCGAGAGGGTAAGAGCTTCAGATTCATCAGGCTGAAAGGGTCCCTTGGACGCCTTCATGGCGGTAGCGGACTTAAGAGGAAGTCTCGACATGGACTTCGGCTTGGCTGGAGTCGTCGCCGGCGGAGCAGAAGAGGTAGCAGAAACCAGCGGAACCCCAGCAGTGGACGAGGCAGCAGCCGCAGCAGCAGCGGTAGCCGCGGTGACAGCAGCAGCGGTAGCCGCGGTGACAGCAGCAGCAGCAGCCTTCTTAACTCGAGGAGCCATCGTGCAATGATGATAGAACAGCCACCAGAGCCAGTGCAGTACCTGAGAATAATAAAAACTGAGCACGAACTGGACGTCCTTTGTAGTTGTAGCAATGCCTGCATGCTGATGCCTGATGGAAGCCTTGAAAGTAGCTTGGAACCTTGGAAATGCCATGTTGAAATAACCTCGCACGGAAATCCCGAAACCATGACTTCTGCTCGTCTTCAGGGGATAGGGACGAATGTTCTCTGTTTGAACATTTAAAAAATATCCTCTGGTACCCTGAGAGAAGACGATCTCAATGGTTATGTTATTAGCGGGAATGTCGTACAATAGGTGGTACATTGGCGAGTTCCAGGGTCTCGGTAGAATCCATGGCTGCCGTGAGGCGGAGAGCATTGTGGAATGTCTGGATCATACGTGGTTGATCACGCTTGGGGGCGGTTTCAACTTTCCTGACTTACACCTAGTCCGCGGTATTTTAACCACGTGAACTGTTTTGTTTCAAACACCCTTTATTCGTTTTCGGGTAATGAGATGGGCACCCAAAGATTTCAAGGCTATTAGTTTACAGCCGGATGCTTTTCCGTCTGAAGAAACGCACACTTAGTGCTCCGAAATAGGGGGAATATCGGCATTGGCAGTGTTTTAACTGCCGGATCTCGCGAAGGGAATGTTAGATTATACCCTCATTAATTTTCGAACTACTCGTTTAAACAAGTCTGACCAAAGAGAAGTACTCTCGCGCGGTTAAGATAGCGGCGGTTAAAATACCGCGGACTAGGTGTAGACCATTGAGAGCCAGGATGAAAATGATCCGCACGTTGTTCGCCTGCACGGAATACAAATCGAAGGTGTACCCTACAGTTTCCAGTGTGTACACGTTGGCATCCGTGGTCTACAGAACTGTAACATCGACCACATGGATCCCGCAAATTACTATTGGCAGAAAAGATATTACAGGTGTGCTCAACCTCTCCACACCACACCTCGCATGTGTGAGATAAGCGGTTACAAAATCTTAGGACCATATCGCGGTGTGGTGAATTTAAGGGCGTGTTCACTAACGGTCAGTATGAACTTGCTGTACGTTGTCTTAATCAAAACTCGAGTGCCAGAAGCGGGGTGCTTACGACGTGGAACGGATCGAGGCGATCGGAGGCTGATCGCAATGACCAGAACCGACCCACATTCCCAACCATCCATCTTCTCTCATCCCACGGTTGAGAATGTGGGTCGCCTCTAATCAGCCTCAGATCGCCTCGATCCGGTCCACGTCCTTACGGAGGTCGAAATATCTCAGACCCCTTGTTCGTCCAACACACTCAAATGGGACCTGAGACTGCTTGCACCAGTGGCTGCCCGTGTTCCCTGAAAATTTTTATGACAGTCCGTTCCGTTGTTTGTCGTAGTTTCCTCGAATGTGACTGAGTCCGCTTGCTAACACCAGCGGCTCGCTCCAAGCTGCTGCTGACCCTGTCCAGGTTCGATCGAAAACCCGGCTTGAAGTTGCCCCCCTGGAATATACAGTTGACAGGGCAACGGGGTACACTTGGTACAGCACAGTGTTTTCATCACAGTCACATGTGAGATGGCGTCCCTACATTTTCCCGCCATCTGAAGTTTGGACACCAGCTGTTGCCCGCCTACTTTTCCTTCTAAAGCTACCCCGACTGTTGTTTTTTTGCTCAAGGATTTCAATTTGTTTGCTGAATTAAATGGCACGCGACTGAAATGACAACTGTCTGCATACTCTGCCAAAGCATTTCTGGAAGTTAGGGTTTGAATGATGTATCCGAAGCATCTCCTTCAAAAAGAAATAGTTTCGTCCAGAAAATCCAGTACATCAAATTTGGGGCATATCCATATATATACAAGAAACAAAAGATTACTTCTTATGTGTCCGAATTTCCATCTATGGCGGGCAAACGCGGGGTGGGGAGGGGACGCCCTGAGTACTGAGGTGACAGCTGTCCAGAAGATAGATGTGGTTCTCCACCAGTATGTGACAGGTGGATTACTGTCATTTGCGGGATCCTGCAGCCAGTGATAGATCATTACAGTAACAGTAGTTAGTGCCGCCGTGCTTCTGAGGCAGAAGAACACCGTGTTTCTGTTCCCCTAACGTCTCTTACCAATGTAACGCCTTGGCGTAAAACTCCCATGTAGTTGCCGTCTCACACTTCTCCACCGCCACAGAACCCGCGAGTGGTTGGGAAATCGGAAATGACCAAATTAGGGCCGAGTAATAGCAGAGAGATGGCCGAATTAGGGCCGTGTGAGTCGCACCCCCTCGAAGCAGTGCCGAACCAGCGCCGCAACTAGCCTGAACAACTT